GACGGACGACGACGATGATGATGACCCAGCGCGCGCACACTTATTGCAAACTGCGGCTTCGCAACCGCGTGCTCTCCTATTATACGCAACCGCAACTGCGGCTTCGCAACCGCAACCCCGCAACTGCGGGCTATCCTACACCGCAACATGCACTCCATCGCTAATGGGATGCACTACGCAGGCAGCAGGCGCCCAGTAGTACCGAGCTCTGTTCCGCAACTGCGGCTCCTCGGTCTTGCCGCACTCACCGCTCGTCCGCAACTGCGGCAGATCGCGGCTCTTCGTGCTTCCGCTTGCTCGCCCGACTTGCGCGTCCGTGGCCGACGAAGACGATGTTTTGGTGGATGCCCTCGCACCAGTGCGTGCTGAAGGTCTTCTCGTTGAGCTCCTTCTGAATGACCTTGCCGATTGGGGGCAGCGCTGCCGAGCCGAGCTTTTCTCTGACTCCGCTACTGCGGTCAGGGTCATCCTCCCACTTGGGCATGTACTTCGCTGGGACCCAGCGCCGAGAGATGATGGAGTCGCTTGTTCGATGCATCCAATCAGGGAGCCACTGGGGATCGTTCTTCGACGGCCTCCCTGCAAAATCCAGGTTGCAGTCCGCAATGCGCACGTCGCACGGGCCAATGGGGAGGACGTAATTCGGATGCATGACGCGTGTGCCCTCCACAATGCCTCCGAACAGGGCGGGTCCAGCCCTGAACGCCACCCCCACCGGGCAGGTGTAGCTGGCTCCGCAACTGCGGCCAAATGCTGCGAGCTGCTCAGGCGGGATGTCAAACAGGCCGCACAAGAACCGCACATCATTTTTATGGATGGAAGCAACCGCGTCCTTGAAGAAACCTGGCTGCCACGCTGTTTGTTCTGTTTGCGTGATCTTCTGTTGGAGACGTTCGGTGACTGCGTGTCTGGACACGACGGCAAAACGGATCACCGCGGCAGGATTCACGTCGGAGCCCTTCAGGCGAAAGCGCAGGATCGTGACGGCGTGGGTGGCCCCAACAACATGACCCGCAACTGCGGTCTCTGCGATGATGTGCGGGCGCACGAGCACCACGCCCGTGTCTCTGAACAGGGCAACCGTCGTCCAGTAAGGCTCCGCGGTGTTGTTTTTCAAAGTGACAGCGTCTTCGACGGCAGTCCTGAGTCCAACGGGAACGTCGTAGCTGCAAGCGCCTTCGACGTTCCCCGTGCGGAACAGCTCGGGGTCCCATACGACGAAGACGACCGCCGCAGTTTGGTGCAAGATGCACCTGAAGACATCTTCCTTTGTTGCCACCTTCGTGATGACCACCACGTTGAACACCAAAGCGATGGTGGACGGAACCCGATTGCCGTCTTCTGTACGAAGGAATCCTTCGTTCCACTTGGGGCGTTCCCCAAAGTAGTTTATCCCTGGAGGGGACCTGGTCCGCTGCTTCTTCCGCGGTGCTCCCGCATCTTCCCGCAACTGCGGTTCCGACGGAGGCCCCGCGCGACCCCGCGACTGCGGTTCTGACAGCGGCGAGTCTTCCGTGGGAGGCGGCCTTTTCCTCGGCCGCGAATCGGCCGAGGCGGTTGTCTCGGCGGCTTTCTCCTGGGAGGCGGCCTCGTCTTCGGGTTGGGCGCCTCGTTTGGACTCGGCTGCGAGCAGCACGGCCGAGGGCGCGCTGCTCCCAGATGAGCCGCGCGCGGCACCTGGCTCGCCGGCCACCCCCGCAACTGCGGTCTCGGTGGCGGCTCCCGTCACTGTTGGTTGGTCCTGCTGCTTCGTCGGCGTCTGCGCCCGAGGCCCCCATTTTGCCTTGGGGGTCAAGTGCGCCCTGCGCAACTGCGCCTCTTCGCGCCTCCCACCAGCAGAGCTCCCACTCGCAGCGCTTATCGGCGGCGGCGGCCGATATTCCCGCGAGGAGCTAGACGACTGCGGGGAGGCCTCGCGCGGCGGTCGCTCGGGGCTTCCGCAACTGCGGTCCTCCGTCGGCTCCGCGACTGCGGCATCCGCGGCAGCCCCTTGCAGGCCGAACCTTTCCCGCAGTTGCTGCTTCAGCTCGGCGAACCGCTTGTCGACCTCGGCTTTGCGACCTGGGTCCATGGCGTGGCCGCGCGCGGCCCCCGTCCGACGGGGGAACTGCGGCCGGCTTGGGAGAGGAAGGACAACGAGGGAGACGGCGGGGATGAGGACGAGGAAGGCGAAGAGGAGGATGGAGAGGACGCGACGGAAGAGGATGGCGCGAAGAGCTCAGACGAGGGTGAAAGGAGCAAGGGGACTGCGACGAGGATGACGGGGCAGAAACGGAGGAGGAGGAATCAACAAAGTCCGCAACTGCGGCCCTCGGGGGGGACTGCGACGAGGACGACGGGAAATGACTCGGCCAACGGAGGCGGGCTACGGCCAACGGAAGGAACTGCGACGAGGAGGAAAGGCGGAGGGAGGAGACTGCGACGAGGACGACGGGGAAGGGGCGACGAGGACGACGAACAACTGCGGATCCATCTGTTTAAGTACCTGTCTCCGCAACTGCGGCCGCGCTAATTAACGTCACGAGTGCTTCAACGGAGGTGATGCGCGCCCGAAGCACCTAATTACAGCGGTCAGTCGTGGGAGCGCCGCAACTGCGGCCAAGCTGTATGAAGTCGCTAGAAGGCAGCGCCGCAACTGCGGCCGAAAGCGCGCATAGTGAGTCAAACGAGCGCGGCGTCACGCGATCGGTCCCCGCAACTGCGGTTCCATGGCTGCGCAATCCCGCAACTGCGGTGTCAAGGCTGCGCGGACCACCGCGGTTGCAGCTGCGCCCCCTTGCTCGCGTCGAACCGCCCAGGATTCGGATGGGCGTGCAGCATCTTCCAGAACGTGAACGTTCCGTGGCCATCGCTCTTGCCGAGACCTGCCCTCGGGCCCCGCACGGGATGCGAGTGCGGCTCCACCTCATACGTGTTGAACTTCGGGCTAGACCAGGATGGGTGGACGCGAATGCCCGAGCCGTCGTCGCGGATGAGGACGAAATCCCACTGGGGCAGAGGGATTCTTTGCGCCTGTCCTCTGTCCACCCCTTTCGTGTGCCTCATGTTGTCGAGACTGCTAGGGCACGGGCGGCACTCGCAGCGGACCAACCCGCGACTGCGGTCATTGTCAGGGCCGCACACGACGCGCAGCATTGTAGGTCCATCCATCTGCGCGACCATCTCCAGCCAAGACCACGGCACTTTGACAGTGTGGTCCCAGTCCCAATCCCTGTTGTCCTGCGCCTTCCCCTTTGCGCGGTACTTAAGGATCTTCGAAATTTCCTCCGCAACTGCGGTACCTCCGAAGACGGGCGTGCGGCTGCCGAAAGGGTTTTCTCGGTCTTCGTACTCGTCTCGGAACCACTTCAAGGCCGCGTTGTGCTGCTTATAATTGCCGTTCCAGTTCGCCCTGAAGTTCTCGAAGAATTCCAACTTGAAAATTGGCAGCGGCTCATTGCGCACAATTTGAAACAGCGCAACTGCGCCTTGTTCTTCGCGCCCTGGGGGAAGCAGGGGACCGCCTCCTTTGCCCGCCGCTGTTGCGGCCGCGGGCTCCGCGGCAGGAGAACCTGCCGAGGCACTCGAGCGGCCACCTTCCCATGCATTCCACCAGCCACCCTCGTCGTCCCACCAGCGGGCGCCCTCCATTCCCCAACCCTCGCATCCGTTGCCGCCCCATCCGCCGCCCTCCCATCCGCGACTGCGGTCACTTCCGTCGCCGCCATCCTGCGCTTTTCCTCTCCATCCGCCAAGAGAATCTCCGCCGCCCCAGCCGCCACTGCGGTCACCTCCGCCGCCGTATCCGCCACTGCGGCCGCCCCAACCCCCACTTGTTCCCCAACCGCCGCCGCTGCTCTTTGAAGAATCCGCAACTGCGGCCCGTGTTTCCTCTTCCGCTTTGTCATCCCACCCTGCACGCATCTCTGCCCCGACTGCAGGCCGCGGAGGCGGGCGCGAGCCCGCCCAACCGCCGTGAAACCTACCGTCGGCGCGGGCTTGAGCCGAACGTGCATGGAGGAGGAGGATGAGGAGGAGGAGGGTGAATGTGAGGAGGATGATGCGTTCCTGGGAGGTGTGCCTTCGCGTGCAACACAAGAGCCCTGAGAATTCCTGAGGCCCCTCCAACAGCCAAGGACGCGGATGACAAGAAAGTCGAGAAGATTGGGAACCGATTGAGGATTAAGAGGCGTGCGACGAAAGGGATGATGATGACGAAGAGGAAGATCAGTGAAGGGGAGGAGCGGACAGGAATTATGGAGGAGTGATAGCAGAGGAGGAAGAGGGGGAAGGGGGAGGAGGAGAAGGAGGAGGAGGAGGGAGAGGAAAAGGGGGAGGAGGAGGAGGAGGAAGAAGGTGAGGAGGAGGAGGAGGAGGAGGAGGAAGAGGAGGAGGAGGAGGAGGAGGAGGAAGAGGAGGAGGACGACGACGACGAGGAGGAGGAGGAGGAGGAGAGGGAGAAGGAGAACGGGGACAGGAGGACAAGGACGGAGAAATATAACAAATGAGGGGGAGGAGGCGGAGGAGGAGGAGGACGAGGAGGAGAAGCAGGAAGAGGAGGAGGAGAGGGGGGAGGAAGAGTGCGCGTGAGACTGGGAGAACGAGGTAATTAATTAGAGAGGGAACGGGGGAGGAGGGAGGACAAGGAAGAGCATACAGCGACGAGAAGAGGAGAAGGAACAGACGAAGGCTCCTGCTGATCGCATTTCCGCATCGTTCAAAGCAGTGCCGGGGCACTGCTTTGAACGACTGGTGATGTTCAAAGCAGTTCCCCGGCACTGTGTTCCATCGTCGCCGTTATAAGGGCTATTGGATTATGCTTAACGATCACCGGCGCCGTTGGCGGTCGCACCAGTGCACTCCGCTCCTCAGCGAACTGGCAACACGGCTGGACGCCCCACGTCGGGCCAACTCCGAGAAGGCAAGGCAAGGCACTAAGGCAGCATTCGCGAGGAAAATATATGCGAATGGAACTGCTGGTTTCGCCCGTTGGAGCACAGCGGCCCTTCTGCCCATGTATCCTCCTCGTTCTCGGGGAACGCGTCCTCGTCGCAGATGAGGCTGCGCTCCGAGCACACCCTCCCGCCCCCGTGCCTGCGCACATGAGCTCTCGGATGCAGACCAAGGCACCCGCCGTCCAAAAATCTTCTCCTGCTCCTCCATCTCCTCCGTCCTCTTGCTTCTTGATCCCGTCAAGGGATCCGGGTAACAAAAACACTTAACATAAGCAATGTACCTCCTAGCGAGACATTGGCACACCATGCCCATGTGCCTCCTCATCGTCATCCTACTCCCTTCCGTCTGAGAAGCGCAACGCAACGAACAAATGATGTGGCACTGTGAATTCAACCTACGCCTCTCGCTTGCCCCGGCCTCCACCCTTCACTGGTCCCCTCTCCTTCGCCGACCGCCGGGCCGCCCTTTCTCCTGATTCCCTGGTCCTGACAAGCATACTCACCTGACCAGCCCATCCCCCAGCCTCCCTAGCCACCATTCCTCATCCATCCTTTCCGATTCTTATCCCTTCCATCTTTCTCCTCTTGGCCCTTCACGCTAGTCTGATGCACGGAGGCGGTGGGCCCATCCCACCCCTCCTCCCCCAGCATGGCGAGACTCCTCACTGGGAGCTTTCCTGCGAAGCGAGGAGACCCCGAGGATGGCATCTCGGGAGAGGCCGCAGAACGAAAAGAACCTGGAATGGGACCACACGTGCTCCCAGACACCCTCCCTGGCCTCACCTGCAATGGACTCCCCCTGGCCCTTCCCCTCCTCACCCCCAGCCTCCCCCTCCTCCCCAGCGCTGGGCCCTCCTGTAGCCCTGCTCACCATCCACCCACGCGATGTCCCTGTCCCCACACCCCTCCTCTGGCAGCTCGCGTCCACCCGGCCGAGCACCTGCCGGGACCCGACGGGCGGACGCGGGCTTGCGAGATACAAGCGCGCCGCTTGCTCCTGATCGTCCCGCCTTTTCACTCGTCCTCCTCTTCCCCTTCCTCGTTTACCCTCGCTTGCACAGCGCCTTAGGAAGGACGCGCGACGAGGGAAACCGTATCCTCCCCTTCCGGCCTTTTTCTCCTCCTGCTCCTGCTTCTCTGATGCCACAACTTCTTCCTCCTCATCCTCCTCCTTCTCCTCCGCGTCCTCCATATCGCGAGCCCAATCGGTGCGAGACCCTTGAGATGAAACAAAACATCATGTGATGAAGAAAAGCCGCACACCAACCTTCGACAATCGAGAGCAGCCCCCCCTTACACACAACTCCCAAGCGTTTTCAGCTTGGGTTTGGAGATTAACACCTCCGATCTGGACGCTTTGACTGACCAGGGGCGTGCCTCATGCCTTCGGTATCTCCCCTGTTGCCCAGGAGAATCTACAGAGCCAGCTGTATGTGTCTTTCATGTGTCAAAAGTCCTCGCTGGAATTGAGAATCTGACACCACGCATGCGCAGAACAATGGGGTCGCGGCCGCAAGAAACCCTGACGCGAAAACCACCCTGAAACTCTACAAAATATCATGCCCAGGGCCCGGGTGTCTGATCCAAGGGTTCTAGCTGGAGAAGCCCACGGTCACCTGGCCCGAAACGTATCTTCCTGGGTCGCGCTGGCAAAATTCGCGGGCCACCATCAGAATAGACCGGTGAGATCTTGAGCGGAGTTCTTCCCATGTCGCTGCGCCTTGAAAGGAAACCAGGGAGTTTCAGGGGAAATGTGTTCTCTGTTGTTGTTCTTGATTGGTTTTGTTTGAACCACTCTGCAACCCGCTTCGAGACATGGAGGGTACCCTGACGACCTGAAATTCTTGCGCGCTTCTTGCGACATCTGCAACCATAACCCGCACGGTTGCTGGCAATTCAACTGACCCGTTGCAGATAAGTTTCTTCGGTGGCGGGGCCACTGTATGCGAGACGTGTGATTGGGGGGGTGAGACCAAAAACATGTTTGGCGCAACAATTTCTGAACGGCCTGGGTACGCAACCGTACATCGCTGGAAACGAAGAAACCCAAGATTCACCGAAGAAAAACATCTGGCTGTTTGTTGCGCGTCTCCACTGTAACGGGGTGCCAGAAACTGGCACGGTGCCTCTGGGCACGGAGTGGGCGTATCCTCAGGTCCGTCGCGTGGAGCCCAGACCCCAAATACCGAAATTTGAGTTCCCCCTCGGTTTATGTGGGACTTTGGCGTTCTCGCTGTGTCGGCTTTCCGACGCTCCAGGACAGCCCAAGAGGCCCCAAAGACCACCGCAAAACGGCCAAAGAGGCCTCCAAAATGGCCCCCACGAAGGCCTAAGAACGCCCCAAGACGGCCCAAGAGGCGCCTAAGACGGCCCACGAGGGACCAAACACGGCCCCAACAGGGGCACAAGAGAGGAAACACGAACCGCAAATCCGAGCCTTTCGCCCCACAACCCAGGCGAGGTGGCGGATGGGCCGAAGGCCCTTCGATACTAGATGGTTGCCTGGTATGGCTCCTGCGCTATGCATGCCTTCAACCATGCGTCCCCGTCTCGCTGCAAGCATGCGGCATTTTCGGTTGTCAGCCATGCCCAAGGCGGCGAGAGATCGCTACAAAGAGGGTTGCAATACTTTTCAGGTCCAGCCGACGACGACTCATCGACCCCCACTGGGGTGTCTCCAGCATGTCGCCAAGAAGCCACCAAGGAGCCCCAATCAAGCGTCTCTCGAAACCCGTGGGAGGCAAACAACACATAATGAAGAGCCGCAGGGAATTCCAAAGTGTCTGCTTCCAAGGCTGTCCAGCTTCAAATCTGTCTGGCAAAAAATCAGACAGCCCCGAGACGCGCCGAAGACAGGTCTCAAGATGGACGCAAGACGGCCCGAATATCGTTCAAAACAACCCAAAAGGACTCCAAGATGCTCCCCGGCCCCGCTCGGAGGTCCCCACGATGGTTATTACGAGCCTTTTGTGAGAGAACTCCGTGGAACTACCGCATCGAAACGGCTCCGAGGCCCACGAGCCCCCCCCCAAGGAATCCCCTCGAAAATCATTACCTGCTGCGTGGCTACGCTGCTGCGCTGGCGAGTCGGCGCGGTGTGCTGCAGGAATGTGAATATCTGGATATTACGTCTACTCCATAAGCTATGGGGAGCCAAGCAAACACTACGGTTAGAAGAGCAATGGGAGGAATATCGCAAGGTAACCTCTGCGATCAAGATCGCACAGAGACACAGTCCTCTGGTGCTGTAGTCCAAGCACTGAAGCTATTTCGATCGAATGTGGACAATCTCCGTTGAAGACGTCGGGCATTGGGACGACGCTTCCGAGCGAACTGACCGGATCTGACTTCGAGCGCCCTAACTCGGCCCACACCCAGAGAAAACACATACTGCGTCGGCGTCTACCACCACAATACATCTTCGAGGATCAAATCCCAGGGCCGTGAGCTAAATGACATGCACATGCTCTATATAGAATAATACGGAACGTGGAATGGTCTGCAAAAGGAAGCCGCGCTCGGTCCCATTTCATGTTGCCGATGAGACTTGGCATTTGTCGGACTTGTTGCTGCACTGCAAAAGGGCCAGAGCGTACCCTACGTCCAGTCCTTCGGACCTGGCGACACATCTTCTTCGTGGACATTGTGGTTAAGGGGCTTTGCCGTGATGAGTACCATTATTATGGTCATCGCCACCACGGTGTTCTGCATGATGGCCGTCATCTTCACTTTTACCATCTTGTACGCAACCTCGACGGCTACCACATCACGGACACCGTCCCAATCGTCATCATGGTGACAATCAACATGGTCGCAACGAATTGTCAGAACCTTACCGCGCATGAGAAGTAGAGAAACGGAAAGGTACCCATACCACTACTCCCATGGCATCTCCTGGGGTGCGTTCTGACCAAGACTTCGATGGCGACGAGCTCTCCCAAGAAGCCCAAAAAAGCGAAAGCCAAGGAAGAGCTGTGGTACCATTACCTTTTCCAACTCGGAAATTACCGCGCATGAAGATGGCCATGGATGAGGCGACAGACACATCTCCCAGTGGCAGCGACGGCACCCACTCCGCGCTGGAAGCCACATCCACGCCGGCAGCTCCACGCGTCAAGACCGCCGCGGCGAGGCCGCCGGCGGCCGCCGCCCTCGGGGCAGAGCAGAAACATCTCAGCTACGGCCGGTGCGAAAGGGGACTCTGCTGGTCGCGCCATCCTGAGAAGCCTCCAGGCGCCCTCGCGGCGCGAGACGCCGGATGGGCAACCCGGGTACGAAAACTGTAGGCAGAGGTCGCTTCACGGTCAGACGCATAAAGTACGTGGGGATGCGCATCGACTGTAAGGCGCCCAAATACTGACAAAACCCAGCATAGTAGAGGTTACGGAAACACGTAGGTGCAAACGCGTCCAATCGGATGGTGCAGGGAAAACATCGAAACCTGTGATGAACATTTTGAGTTTTAACTGCGAACGCATCTCAATGATCAAATGATCACAACTATGTACACCACCTCCTCCTTGTCGAGTGCGGGGGAAACTTGAGCCCTCCTCGGCCCCACTTTGGATTGAGGTTGAACCGTCCTCCCCTCTTCCCCCCTTTCGGGACAAGGGTTGAACGTCTTTGCCTTCCCCCCTGTGATCCTGATACCAAAACAAAAACACCCGAACTGAACCCGTCTAACCCGACCCAGACCCCAAACCCTAAACTATAACCCAATTCCCAATACCCAAACCCCATCTTCTAAATTCACACACCCTAACTCGAGCCTCTAACCCCAAACCAACCTCACAACCCAAGCCGAACCCGAAACGCTGACCGTGACACCAAAATTCATCACACCCCAACCCGAACCTTCAACTATAAGCCTAAACTCAGCACCATAATCAAAATTCCTACGCCTTACACTCCCACAACAGCTCTAAACTCAAAACCTAACCCTGAAACCCTGAGACCCAAACCATACCACCCTACCCGTACCCCTGAACACTGAACCTGTACTTAAACCCTGGCTGGCACCTTACGTCCTCAGACCCTAGTCCTAACAACCTAAGCATGAACACAACATCTAACCCTGACACACGAATAAACTCTGCCCCAACAACTAAACACCATACACCATAACCCGAATGCCGACATCCTGCGCTAAACTTCTCCCTGGCTACCTAACGCTTCCCCGAAGTACTAAATCTAACATGTTAACACTTAAACCCTAACATCCTGCCCCTAACCCTAAACACTGTCCCCCCAATCCAACACCCTAACCCTAAACCCTCACACCATCACACCCTAACCTTTTCCCACGCGCCAGAGATCACCACGTTCCGTCCCTTTCGCCTTCAAAGGAGGGAGGGGGATGGACGTAGACCCCCTGGAAGGAAAGGGGGTTCATCGAGCAACTCCCATGTTCATCTGCCGGGGGGAAACCACTGCCACTCATGTCATTTAATGTACATGCAAATGTGTATTACGAATGTGTGTGCACGACCGAATGTACATGAGTGTGTGGCTGTGTTGTGGCTGTGTCCCATGATGCAACTCCAAACGCATATCAAACTTCTAACGGCGACACGTATAGCGGCCAGCAACTCGTTCATGTGCAAGTTAAGTGACCTTGACAAGAACGTTGTTGACCGCTCAAAGTCTCACTGCATGCCGGATGCCAATGCCGATTCAGCTATCGAAAGGCTATCACCTTCTATACAAGCCGACGGTCCTCAACAATGCACAGTGAACCGCTTCATCGAGGGCAAATGCTTGCACATTAAACGCAAATGACCTCCACGCGATCAGGCGATGTCATCTGCTCAAGCTGCTCACCGTTTCTAGGCCAAAGTGTGAGCCATGAAGCGGCCCCTTAGAGCAATGATAGCCCTAGTGCTTCCCTAGTTGAGGGGGGGGCAGATGACGGTATACATGTGGACATGTCTACTTGCCCCTGGAGATCGACAGACACTTCAAGGACCGACAGACCGACCCTCCAAAAAGGGAGAGAGCAAGGGGAGATCATTGGGCGTGCAACTCCCATGGAGTGCCTCAAAAGCGCTGAACTGCTCAACATTATCCGTCACCGTGCCTCTGGGCACGGAGTGGGCGGTGGACGCCTCCACAGGTCCTTTGCTAAATCCCTGGAGTCTCAGTCTTCAGTCCTGAGAAGTCTTCAAGGAGCCAGGAGCCCAACTTCTCGAATTTGGCAGGTCTTAATTGCGGTTCCCCTGGGCTCCCCCGCGTCTTGTCGCACGACTTTGTCGGGCCCAAGTGGACCCGAAGTCGGGGGGCCGAGAGGGCATCTGGGATGCCTAGAATCGTTGACGATCACCGCTCTCAGATGTCGGAGATCGTCCAACACTTACCGAGCTTTGGCAGCTGGTGAAGCCCAGTCCCTGAACGCCTGCACCGTGCTCCTCTCGTCCTCGTCTTGGGGTTCCCAGAACCGTCTGGCGACAGACCACGCGGTGACCTCGGATTCCCAACATCCTCATAGCACTGTCCGCCACCGCACAATCTTGAGACCTTGGAGATCCCGGTCGCCCGAGATGTCTCCAGAAAACGATCCGAGTTCCAAAAGCGCGTGGTCAACCCTGCGGGCACGATTCATATCCGTATCCACTACGTCTTGGACTCTCTGGGAAGGGGCGCCTAAAGGCCGAGGCGCAGTGGATATGGATACAAATCTAGCCTCTAAGGGCCAGATCTCTTTGCGTATCCACTGCGCCTCGGGTGCCTGGGGAAGGGAGCCTGAAATTCCAGAAAATGCTAGGGACATGGACACGAGTCTTGCCCGCAACCCCGAGTCGTCACCACACGGCACACCGTTCGAGAGCCCCCGATCGTCGCGCTGGACGCGCCCCGCCCTGCGCCCGCCGGAGGACAGGCCCCTCGAGGCTAGAAATTTCATCGGACGGCGCAGGGGGGGCCACGGCGCACCCTCGTTCCCTTCTTTTCGGCCCTCCACCTCCTTCTCATCCCCCCGAATTTCTCTCCAGGGCAATGCACAACTTGCGTTTGAAGGATGCAGCCTTCTCGCGAAGAAGCCCCCGAACGGCCCCAAGAAGCCCCCAGGATGCCCAAAAATAAGCCCCCAGGGCCCCCAAAACAGCCCCCAGGAGACCTCAAGAGGCTTCAACACTGCCTCCAAGAGACTCCCGAAACGCCTGCCAAGAAAACCCCACCAACGCTGCATTGACAACGATCCCTTGGACAAAAAGCAGAGATGAGGCTACATGGGCCGGCGGAATGAGCGAAGCGATTAAATAATGCTTCGGCCGGGGCATGTGGAAAAGGCTTCTCCGTCTGCCTCCTCTTCGTCGTCGTCCTCGTCCGTCCCCTTTTCCCATAGCGTCTTCTCCTTTTCCGGGGCCTCCTCCTCAAGCGCTTCGGTCCAAACCGAAATTGAGCAACGTGAAGCCCCTTCCCTTTGATACCTTCCTCGGCGCGGGGGGGGGGTAGTCCCGGGGGAGGACCCGGGGGAGCACCGGGGGGGGGGTTCCCGGGTCAGATACACAACCCCCCCCCCTGAAGATGACCTCCAAGATCGCTCATGTAGCCCTCGATGGCTCCACATCGCTTCCAAGGAGCCTACTAGAGGCTCGAACATCGCGCCAAGACGTCTCCAAGTAGCCACGGAGGCTTCCAAGAACGCTTCCGGGATGGCTCCAGGTAGCCCCGGAGCCTTCCAAGGACGTTACCGAGAGGCCCGAATCATTGATTTCCCAAAAGGAACACGTACACTTTTGGCGTATACGACTTTTCGGCCTTCACGGCGTTGAAGACAGTCCAAGACGCCCCCAAGAAGGCCCCAACACGACTCAAGAGGCTCCCAAGAGGCGCCTAAACCGGCTCAAAGAGACGCCAAGACGGCCCCAGAGGCTACCAAGACGGCCCAAGAGGGCCCCAAGAGGGGCCCAAGACGGGGAGCCCGAACCAAAAATCCGAGCCTTCCGCCCCAAGAAGAACCGTGGAGGCCCCACGAGGCCCCCAAGAGGCCCCAGGAGACCCCGAAGAGGCCCCCAAGGGGCCCCAAGAGGCCCCCAAGAGGCTCAACAGATGCCCCAAGAGACACCAAAACGGCTCCCTCCTCCACCTGCTCCTCCTCATTCTCCTCCTCCTCCTCCTCCTCCTTCTCCTCCTCCACCTCCTCCTCCTCCTCCTCCTCCTCCTCCCCTCCCTTGCTCCCCCTTCTCCCCTCCCTTGCTCCCCCTCCTCTGGTTCCTCGTCTGCCTCCGCCTCTGCTTACGAACAGCCTCGAGACAGAGGCTCGCAGAAGTAGAGACCCCCAAAGACCTTGGAGGCCAGGGTCTGGTCTTGCCCACACCGCCACCACCAACCACTGGTTGTTTCCCCTCACTGACAGATCGCTGTCTTCAGGGTCGGCGGTACCGGACGGCCGGCGCAGTAATGCTTCGGCCGGGGCAAGAGCTCTGAACAGGGGATTGCTAGTTCTAGTTAGCCTGATCGCGTGAAAAAAATCGTATGGCAGTGTCCATCTTCGGCCGTCTCTCGATTTTGACAACGCCCGGTCACGGATCGCGGTGCCGTCTTCAGGTATCGAACTCGTTGCCCTCTAGGTCGCAGGTTATGGCAGCCAGCCGAGCATAACAATCGGATAAAGAAGAGAGACCGACAGCAGGCCCCGTCATGATGATGCCGATGGTGATGGTGACGGGCAGTGGTGGTGGTGGTGGTTGTGGTGGTGATGATGATGGCGGTGATGGTGATGGTTATGGTGATGGTGATGGAGATGGTGATGGCGATGGTGATGGTGATGGTGATGGTGAACATGATGCTGTTGATGATGATGGTGATGATGATGATGCTGATGATGATGATGCTGGTGATGTTGATGTTGTTGTTGATGATGGTGATGGTGATGATGATGCTGCTGATGATGCTGAGGAGGAGGATGATGAGAGCGTCCAGCTCGAACAGGGCTGGGCTGTCGCCGCCGCGCCAGCCTGGCGTGAGCCTGCCTGACACCCCCCCTCGAGCGGCGGGGCCGCCCACAAGGGGGAAACAAACACGATCGGAAAATGGTCACAAAAAGAGAGGGGGTGACCAGCCTCGAGTTTATCTCTATCCCAGCTAAGAAGAGCAATGGCAGTCTGAGGGAATCCTTCCGATTGGTATCGAGATGGGGCGATGCCAATCATAGAAATTGAGACGTCCTCCAGGCTGGAAAGGGGGAGCAAAGACCGTTCGCAATTCTCGGAGCAGGGCGAATGGAGACAACGGCCACTCAAAATCCGCCCCCTCGGATCCCCCCGGGGTTCCCACGCACCAGTTCTCCGGGCTGCGTCCAGCCGAGGCGACGCAGGGTCCCCCCGAAGGCCCGATACTGTTGTCTCAACTCGCCCTCCCCCGAAGTTCCCGTCCACTTCGAGCAGGGCTCGCTGTCGCCGCCGCGCCAGCGCGGCGTGGAACTGCCGCACCCCTCCCTCGGAGGGGGCAGGGCATCCCCGCGCCTCCGCGCGAGCCCGCGCGCCATCTCTGGCGCCATCCGCCCGCGGCCGCGCTCTGCCGACGGCGGTGTGGGCAAGACTTGTGTCCGTGTCCACCGCGTCTTGGACTTTCTGGAAGGGGCGCCACAACGCCGAGGCGCAGCGGAGATGGACAGCAGCATCCGGCCTCTGGGGGCTAGATCTTGATCCATATCCCCTGCGCCTCGGGTGCCTGGAGAAGGGAACCCGAAACTCCCAGACGCAGTGGATACGGATACGAGTCTTTCCCGCAGACGAGGGGGGGCCCGCTCCTCTCGAGGCAGACAGCTCGAGCCAGAGGCGGGCGCCGACGGGCCCGGCACGCCTAGCAGGCCGAGGGCCACAGCCTGCGCCGACGGAGGGGCGAGCCCTGGCAGACGTCGGAGGGATCGTGGCCGAGTACCCCCACCCTCCCCCGGATCTTCATCGCCCCTCCCCTCCCGCAGATGGGAATGGCCAGCCAAGCCTGCCAACTGTGCCGGTCAGGCCGTCTGGGTCCCAGAGCCAGGGCCCCAGAGAGCCTGACAGAGAACCCACTGAGGAGCCACAGGAGGCACAGAAAACGCAAAAGAGAGCACGGACGTCGCCAAGGCTTTCGGGGGCGGCCAAGCGGGGGGCCGTCCAAGAGAAGGGCTCGAACATTGTGGCCCCAAGCATGCGCGCGGACGAGGGGGGACCAAGGGACGTATAGGAGGAAGAAGAGGCGCCATGAGATCTTGGGAGATACCATGTCTCCCGCCAAATCATTACCCCCTCTTGGCCGCCCCTGAGACTTGAGACGGTTTCAAGAGAACTCGAGACTGAGAAGGATCCAAGACGGACCCAGAGAGGCTCATGGAAACTCTAAAGGTATCCGAATATGTCTGGGAATTTAGCCCACTCGCCACACATTGAGCTGATCATCAAGCTGGCCGTGGATACAAGCCTTTCAACGACGAAGCCGCCATCCATGCGACCCAGAGAAGGTGATGCCACTCCAACGGGAGCTGGTTTTCTGTATCGCCTTGATTGTCCAGCTGTGGTCTGAAACCGAGAGCATCACACACACACACTCACACCACGCGTCACCAACGTAACATATCATGCTCGATGCCACAACATATGCTCGATGCCTCGTCGCTTTCATGACCAAAACGCTCAACACACCGTGCTTCGCCGTAGCAAGGGATCTCAAACAACACACCAGACCCCACGTACCAATTCACATAACTTGAACGCCTTGGTTCGGACCGCGATTCGGGACTTGCTCGATGCGTCTGTGCACTGCGTGTTTGACTTGTCAAGTCAACCCTTGGTTCGCAGAAGCGTTTCTACATGTGTCGCGTTGGTTTCATAATCGGAACTTCATCGCCTCGCACGGCTTTCCACACGGCGGATCACTGGAGCTCCACTGCTTGCTTACCAGTTCGCGGGCTCCTCCGACAATGCCACATCTGGACATACTGCTACCTGCTACCTGCATGCGCTCGACCTCCTCAAGGACACAGATAGTCAAGATAGCAATTTGCAGTGCAGTGGTCAGGCCGCGCAGCATGGACCTCCCGACCACTCGAGGGGGACGAGGCGGGGGGGTCAGACGCAAGCTGCTGAGCTGCACTGCTTCAAGGCGCCTCGAGGCACTGTTGGCGACGATGAATCGACAAAGCTGCTGGGCACCGCGGCCGACACCAGCGGCATTCAACCGGCCCTTCCCCCCCCCCCCCGTCTGGAGGAGCAGAAGAAATACCCACACCGCTGCTCCATGACCTCTCCGCAGGCGCGCTCTGACCAAGATGGCGTGGAGAGGCGACGAGGGATGGGCCGCGGCCCCATAGAGGCCTCCCCAATGAGGTCCGAAGAGATGGGGTCGGAGGATCGCACCGCATCGCCGGCGTGGAGGAAATCGGGCTCAAAACCGAGCCGAATGGCCAATGCATCGGCGATGCGGCGCAAAGCTTCGATCACATTCGTAGGGGACAAAAGGGTAGGATAGCAAAGGGTAGGATGGATAATCAGCTCAGGTAGCTAATCTTCCTGGCGCCTCCTGGCGCCAATGTATCGAAACCGTCTGCATGCAGCAGATTTCGTGACCCCTCCTTTCACTATCCTAACCTTTCGTCTAGCCCGACCAAGGAGGCGTAGGATCGGTATGTGTTCCTCCTGCGACCGCCGCCCACACCCGTTTCGGGCCTCCCCGAAGCGCAGCGCCTGGGCCTCCCGACCAGCCCCAACACTCAAGGTGCGGAAGACAACGGGGGGGCATGGCCACGCCAATCCCCGACCTCGCTCGGAGCCCCCCCGGACTTCCGATGCCTCGAATTTCCCAATACGGGGCCCCTGGAGGCCTGGACCTTTCTCCCCCAGGGCCAGCTCTCCACCCTGAGTGGCTTGTTTGCCGAAGACGGCCAGAACACCGTCCGTCGTGAGTGTGACGAAACGTTGGGGGTCTGAGGCCCTCCGGCGGGCGCACTCAGGAGCCCGCTGCCCGGCCGCGCGCGGCCTGGGCGGCCGCCACCCTCGCCGAAGCTCCCGCGACCATGGCCGGCAGCGCGCGCCGGCTCGAGCCGTCCAAGGCGGCTCGCGGGAAGGGCACGCCATGCCTTACATGCGTTTTTCTGGAAACCTGCTTTAGCCAAGATGACGGTAGATACTCGCAAATAGAGGCAACCAGCTAGCGGCAAACAACGGCACACGGCCCGCGCCAATCGTCCACCAATCACCCGCGGTTCGCCGCTGATGGCCGCCAAACGTGAACAAAAATAAGACTTTCAGTGAAATCCACAACTTCCATCAAATTCGCCGGCCCAACGGGCCAGAGGCGTGCTAAGATCTCCGGTAACTGGTTAACAATATTTCTAGTTCGCGCGCGCGGGGCGGCCCCTGGGGGTCCCCCGGCGAAAAGTATCCCGACCGCAGCCCGAGCAGGTCTACTCAGAGATGGTTTTGAGGGCCTTTTTCGACATCCCTCACGAGGATCGCCTCCGAGGGGGGTGCACTCGACTACCCCGCCCCAGGAGGCCCCCAAGACCCCCCAAAGAGGCCCGAGGGGGCCCCAAGACGCCGCCAAGGAGCCCCAAGAGACCCCCAAGAGGCCCCCAAGAGGCCCATAGGAGGCCCCAAAGAGGCCCCCAAGAGGCTTCAAAGAGGCCCCATAGAGCGCTCGAGGGCCGGCGGAGTGAGCGGAGCGATTGCATAAAACCATGCCGAGCTGGCACCTCGTGGATCGTTCAACCCTGAACGACACTGGCTTTCCGATTGTGCGGATCTTCGGACGTCGGCCGAGTCCAGGCCGCTGAAGGCGTTGAGCCTTGAACGCCCGCGCCGGGGTCGCCGCCACGCCTACGCGTCGCGGACCTGCCGCACACGGGTGGGGATCTGCATCGTCAAGCGAGGGCAGCGGCGACAATCTCATGCGGGAGCAGTCATACGTCTGAAACTTCGGGACGGGCGACCGCGCGTCTCCATTTGTGAGCTTGAGCACGGCGCAAAGGCATGCTAAACAGAGCACGAGCCAAGACACCATGTAGTCTCGCGAGGAAAGGCGGATCACGCTCATGCAGAATCAACTATCGCACAAACTCGTCGGCTGTTCCAGAAGCGACGCATTCACTCTCCACACAACTCGCTCTCGCCCATTCTAAGCGGCATGCCCGTTTTTCCACCAAAAACAAACACGAAATAACGCTCATTCCCCAACAACAACCACATTCAACCGAACAAGCAACACCGAATCCGTGACATCTAAGCTCCCCAATGCTGCCAGTGCTCCCGAATAACAAGCAGTGCAAATATTGAAGGGGGCCGCGTGCAAGCTGGGGAAAGGTACCTGGACAGACATAGCGCAAGCCAATCACATCTGCGGAACATGCCGAAAACACCAGGTGGCAGAACAAGCAACAGTGCACAACCATCGCGACGGAAGGTGCTCATCAACACACGCTCATGGAGTATTACAGACCCTCAGAGCATCAAACAATCCAAGGCAACAGACCGTCGACGCCTCCCCCTGCACATCTGCTTCTCGGGGCCATCTGCCTGGGAACGCATCCCTCAAATGGAGGACGTATATGGCCCCTTCTTCCTCATCCTCCTCCTTCCCAACTTCATCCCCTCCCGGTTCCCCTCCTTGATAAACTGCCCTTCCATCCCGGCCCCTCCTTTGATTCCTCTCCCTCTCCGCACCGTGTTCTGATGATGAGAGTGCAATTTTAAAAGGTCCCTCAGCGTGGCGCCAGACCTGCCGTGAACCTCCAATGAGACTTCTTGCGGCGGGGTCGCGGGCGGAGCACTAACGCAGGAGGACAAGCCAAAAACAACGCAGACGACCACCAACAACACTGAGTTTGGACAATGCGATGTGCTTCTTTCGTTAATCTGCGTTTTGCCTTCCGCCGACCTCCAAATCCTCTTCGTATACGAACGTGCCTGCGGGGCTTCGCCATTTCCCCGGGTTAAAGAGGCGAACATCAACTTCCAAACGCTCGGTGTGATCACAAACATATGCTACAAATATTCCATATTCCCTTCCCCTTCCGTGCGATCACTCGACTCAAGTAGCCTCGAGACGAATACGATGAAGAGGAAGGGCAAGACGAGGAAGAAAATGGAGACGAACAAAAACGAAAACGGACATCTTTCACCCCCCAGAGAGTAATACTTGTGTACCGAAAGCGCCTGAATGGGTCAGAAGATGTCGTACAGGCCTCTAAGATTATATTGAGGACTCTATGCCAACTACTTGTGCATATCTTGCACACGACAATAACGACTCGCTGGGTAGACAACACCACGTTTGCCCACATCCAACACAAACATGTGTGTGAAGACCGTGAAAAAAAACTACGTTCACCGCCACAGGGGCTGTCACGGACCTCCGACCCCAAACATACTGTGCTCAACTCGGCAACTTCGCCTCCCAAGCGCTCGAATGTCACCCACGATGCACTCCTCACATCCTTGAACTGTTGAATTGCTCCACAACTCTAAAGTTCCAAGCACGCTTGATGAAAGAATCTGGGGCCCACACATGATTTGAAATGCGTCGGGTAATTCGCACATCCATTATAATACTATGACCGTATCAAGGATGGTGCGTCACCGCCCACCATTCCTTCAGTGCTTCTCCTTCTCGTCCTCATTCCCCTTCAATTCATTTCACTCACTCCTCCTTCCCCCCTCCCTTTGGTTCATTTCCTAACGGCTGCGCTCCCTCGTCCTCCACTGCCTGCTTGTCGAACGCACCCGCGTTCCCAATGTCTGCCTCATCTGTGCTGACTTTCGATTCTCTTTCTCAACTCCGTTTTCCTCCTGGCTGTCAACTTCATCTCAAGACGGAGAAGCACGAAAGAGAAAGAGAAAGAGGGGAACCAAACGACGGATAGTCACAACTGAAAGACAACTAATCAAATAGAACTGAACTTGCATAGGGTGATTGTTGTTGTAAGATGTTCGGGAAGACTTGCACCTGAACAATAACATTTTTGCGTAATGTTGATCGCAAATTATTATTGCGAATCTAGTTGCTCTTATCTCAAACGCCAGCTGCTCGGGGGGGGGGGGTATTGGTCAGATTGCAGTTGCAACATCGAAGACATAGCTCATTCGGAGGCAGGTTCGGGGGGAGACAACGCCAGTATCGAGCGGCCACGCGTCTGTCATATCGCTCTGCTCACTTTGTCTTGCTCTCTCCCCCATCTCACTCTACACATGTCCCTCTCCTGCTGCACTCTCGCGCGTACGTCGGCACGTGATGCCCTCTCGTCGGCTCGGACGAAACGGTGTGTGTGGTAAAGGGGAGGTTAGCGAGTCAACTCACGGAGAGCCAATGAATTGAGGAACTCGCCTGTATCCTTGTATCCTTGAATCCACGTCAAACGCGTCGACTCCACTTCGAATTCGCGTCGAACCAACGTCGGAGCACAAGAGACGACTGCAATTTACAGGACATGACAGGTCCCCCGAAGACCCAACGTAAGAATAAACGCCACTCACCTCAAAATCGAATCGTGACAACACCGTGCTGACATGACGGCGTACCCTCCAACGGCCCCGGAATGTGCCAAAAACATACATCGAACAGGCAACGTGTTCAGTACCCATGTCTACGTTGGCGGGTGTAATATCGACTACGTTAATTATGACGGGTGTGACCAAATAGTGCAATTCAACTTTTTGCTTGAAGATGCTGTTGGCATGCCGCATCAGGCATTCAGCCATTTACAATAATCGGATGTACTTGAAAACATTTGCGCGTTTGCGGTCCCTCAGAAACGACCAGCGGCCAAATTCCCCCTCCTGATCGTTCGGGATACATCGACCAACTCTGCAGAGCACAGAACCGTGCCAGATCAGTTACACGATTAAGCATCAACAAGCATGTGAGGCAATGCACCGCACACCATAGACACTCGCACTCATCCCTAACACGGGGCGCAACCTACGCCTTCCACCTACCAATTTGAAACCACCGAGTGGCATTCCTGTTTCTAGCTGCCAGCATCATGCCGCGCTGGCTCTCTCGCGGGGTCCCACACGAGCGCTGGATTCGACCATGGTGGAGTGCGGTGGCTAAGCACCGCGGTGGTTAAGCACCGCCGCTGGGAAGAGAGGGAGACTAAAGAAATCGTGGATGCCGGTAAACCTGACGCGGCAAATGAACACCAACTCCCGAGCTGGTGATTTGTGAATGCCGTGTTGAGGCCGAGTCTTTTCAGCACAGAGACCCCTATTGCGAGTGGGTGAACATTTCCCTTGCCAAGATGACAGGAGGGCTGTTGGCGATGTTACGGCTGGGCGATTCGAGCACGCTGCGCGAGGAATCAGACATCGCGTGCAGACCCTGAGGCGGGTAGGTACGCCCTGTGGCTAAGGCCTCGTTGGGGCGCGCCCACACCCATGACTTTGGATGTTGTAGTTCTGCTTTGTTCTCGGCATCCTCGGGCGGTGGGATTCCACCGCCAAGTCTCATTCGGAGGAACTTGGTGGCCTCGACAAAAACTGTTCTCCTTTTCGACATGAACGAAGACGGTATCTACCTCAGTCCTCGAACCCAAGCGTATGGGCTTGATCCAAGAAAGCCCTGGCACAGCTGAGCTAGCCATTACCAACACCTCAAGACTATCGCGTATTAGTTCGGTCCAGGGCTCATTTTCAGCCACAACGATTGGGGAACACCTACCACGACGAGGGGCAGCCTGCCTGACTGTAGCCTTGCATCCCTGGCGGGCACATGGAAAAAATGGGGCAAAAAGTTCAGCGCCCAGATGCAGTGGTGCACAAGCACGTGACAATATAGTAATGTACAAGCACGGCGTGGGACATGGAGAACAAATATATCCGAACCGCGCAATGACTCGGGCTGTGAAACGTCTCCCCATCCTCCCCCTGACCGGATGCACACACCAATACCAGTGCATCCGCGTAGCACGTCGCATTTCCTAAAGCGTGCTTGCACTAGGGGCTTCGTGGGCAAACACTTTTGTCTGACGAGGTCAGTCGCGCGATCCAGCCATGTAGACCAGGGAGCGAGAAGCTCGCAGAGGTGCACTAAGAATTCTCAAACAACGGTAGCGTGGCAACGCTGTAGAAATAGCGATCGACGACTAGGAGCCACGAAAGCCCGGCACTGTGCAACCACCACTGGTCCTCTCACATCGCTCCACCGTGCCATTATCAGGCGGGGAAGCGCACCCGTGAACATGGAAAGCACCCAAAGAGGTCTCATTCTTACGTTTGCAGTCATGACGTGGTGCGGACCGTCCACATGCCGCGTAAAATTCGCCATCTCATGGCTACACAACGAGACAACACGTAACGATCCCCTCCCGAGACTCCCTGGGCCTCCGACGCCTCCCTGCCGCTCCCCAAGGCTTTCCGACGCTTCCAAGACGGCGGCCAAGGAAAGCAACCGACGCCGCGCAAATGGCACAATATGCTTCCAGCGCTGCAAGACAGGGCTCCGAGACGTCCGAACACTGTGTTTACCACCTGCACCTTTGCATGTTTGTTCTCGCTGGAGCGGAGTTCGCTGCCTCGCCGCTGACGAAAAAGCTTGCATGACTGTCGGGTTCTCTCCTTCTCTGCCAGCCCAAGAATCACGCCTCCAAGGTGGCCCCAAGACAGCCCACGAGGCACCCAAGACCTCGAGATGGCCCCAGAGGCCCTCAGGATGGCCCAACAGGTCTCCGAGATATCCTACGAGACGCTCAAGGCGACCCCTCAGGGCCCCAAGACGGCCCCTAAAAGGCCCCCAAGACGGACTCCGAAGGCGCTTGACTGCCCAAAAGCACCCTAAGACGGCCCAAGGAGCCCCCAAGAGGTCCCGAGTCCCCAAGACGCCCCCAAGAGGCACAAATTAGGAGGGAAGGAGAGGAAAAGAGGGAGACGATGACGAGCACCATGAGAGACACTCCGACACGAAACCGAAGAGGCTGTAACATTTCACGGCTATCCCAGGCATCGAGGCGCGATGTGTCGACTCCGTTTTCGCTCCTCGAACAATCACAACCCAGGAGTGCTGGGCTGGCATTGTGGAGGGACGTGCCGCAAGCATCTGGACATCTATAGCCAGATTCGGCAGCAATGGCGAACGAAAGGCGTCTGAACCCTTGACATGACCCCCCCTCCCCGGGTGATGTTGAGGAATCAAGCGTGTCCAGCAAAAGATACGAGGGCAACTGCTGAGACCCAGTCATGCGCATGAATGCTTTGGACTGCGCATCATGACCACCCTACACCCCTGACGACCTCCATCCTTATTCTCGCCTCCTCCTCCTCACTCCCATCTGCCTCCTCCTCATTCCCCTTTCGCTTCTCGTTCCTCCGCTCCCTCCTCCCCGCTCCCTCCCCCTTGATACCCCCCTGGGTGCACGCAGCATGCAGTGGTGCCCCCTGGGACACGCGCCCCCGTTGCAGCCCCCGGCGACCGCAGGCCCGGGGCTTCCAGCTCCTCTGGCAGTGGGCTTCGAGCCCCCGGGCAATGGGCTTCCAGCCCCTGTGCACGGGGAGCCCGAACAGTGCGCGTGCGGCACACAAAGGTCACGACGTCTGAATTCTGACCCCACCAACAGTCGATTCTCCCGAATCGATGGGAGACGGGTGTAGGGTTCGGATTTCGCCACGTGTTCGACAAATTCCGAATCCTGCCCCCACCGCCCATCCGGTTGACTGAATCGTTCATCAGCGTGGGTAGGCTCCAGAACTAGCCGATGGGTAATGCGCGTGCGGCACACAGCCGAGGGCGTGCGCCGCACTTCGGCGCCCGCGCCCAGGGCGTGGCGGATTCGCGGCTGGCGCCGGCGCATGTGCGGCCAGCTGCTCCCACCCGAAGCGGAGCGCGCAGCCTAAGCCTTCGGGGTCTTCGGGGACGCGCTGGACTTCGGGGACTTCCTGTGGGAGCGCGGGCCGCAAAGCCAACCACGCGCGGAGGCGCAACTCGTGCGCCAGAGTGCTCCCGTGTCAACCCTGTAGGCGATGGGGCAGGGATGAGGGCGAGGACCAACGACAGCAGGCGCAGGGAAGGAGGAGCAGGATCAACACGAATTATCGATAGGAGTAAATGTGGTGGTGAAGCGAATTATCGGAGACATGCCTGTGGAAGTGAGAAGGGACCGGCCTTCTCAGAAAGCGGCAGGGCTTCTCAGAAACCATCTGGCGTTCTAAGAAGCCGTCTACGCGTTCGGAGAAAACTTACAAAACTTCTCAGAAAGCTGGAGAGCTTCCGAGCAGTCTGGGAAGGCTTGCCCCGCGTCTGACTTCCCCCTGAGCTCGCCGCCGAAATTAACAACTGGCAGGGAACTCGGGATGAAGTCGAAAAGCTCCTTTGCGCCAGATCTGATGCCCCTCCCCCATTGCAGGACAACGGAAAGATAAACAGTTCGGGACGACGCTTCCACCCTGTCATCCAAATGGGACGTTGCGAACAAATGAGGTATCCTTGAACTTCCCCCCCAAAAGATACCATCTGGTAACTGGTTACCTATCATACTCGGCATTATGATGCTTGATGCGCGTGAAATTGCAAACGCACGGGCATGTAAATATTCAAAGGCTACTTCCCAATCGTCTTTATTATGAATCGCCCTCCCACGTTTTAGATTAGACGCCGCTCACAAGAAAAACTATATTCATATGCAGACAATGCAAGCGAACTAGTTCGCTTGTGGATCACAATCCCTGGAAGAGAAGGCACACTAAACCTCGTGACATTCTTGAAATGGGGATGCGCTTAAGCATGTAAATAATGCCAGTTCAAAGAAAACTATGATCATTGGAATGTCGGCTCCGCGCGTAGAAGATCACCAGAACGGCGGCGGACCAGCCTTGGCCAGACGGCAATTCGTGATCGTCTGTTGGAACCAAGACCGGGACAACGTCGGACATCGGACCGAGACACATCAGGGATTTCTGCGATCCGGCGGTTCTGGAGGTGTATCGGGCCACGCGGTCGTTCCAGAGCGCACCGAATCGCTCTGGGAACGGTCTGGGACGCTCTGGAACGGATGTATCCCCGTCCTGGGCCCGCCCGACATCTGCCGGGTGAACCTCCCAACTCCAGGGCGCGCTGGGGGCGCGGCTGCCCCGGGGTTAGAAGAGCGCTGGGGCCCACCCGCGGGACCCCATGCGCGGCAGGATCATTGCGTCGGCCCCACAGTGAGCCCTCCTCCGCCTCCTCCTGACTGATCATCCTCTTGTCTGCTCCTGTCCCCCATCCCTCCTCCTGTTACCCTCCTCCTCTCTCCTCCCCTCTTCTCCTCCTTCTCCTCCTCCTTTCCTCTTCCTCATTCCCCATCCCTTGTCCTTACCAAACACTCCCTGTCGCACCCACAACAATGTCGGTAGGTCGGCCGGGCGTTTCGCCTGAGACAGTCTCACGAGCTACGGTCCTGAAACTTCCAATCTGCAACAGATTCAGGGATGGAAGGCGGATGGTATTTTCAAAATCGTCGAAAAAACTGCAGCTAGTTCAACCATGGAGGGCGGATCGTATTTCCATAATGTGGCTCTCGTCTTTGCGCCGTACACACGGTTTCAAAATGCGGTTCTCGAATAACCGCCGCGCGCGGTCATCGTCGAACCTTGCAGCAGCTTCCGGCATGGAGGGCGGTTCATTTCCAACATGTGGCTCTCGTCTTAGCGCCAAACATGCTCGTCTTACTTACAAGTTAGCAGCAGTTCCGAAGATGGAGGGCGGCTCGTTTTCAAACTGTTGCTCTCGCCAAGCGTCGCGCACATTCGTCTGAAAAGTTTGCAGCAGTGTCAAGGAGTCGCATGCTCAAGCCCCAGGCATGCTGTTCTGGCACGGCTTAGGATTGTCAAGGCGCAGCAATCACGATGATTCGCGGCGCTCAAGTACAAGAAGCGGTGTTGTGGCACTACTTAAAGTTGTCAAGACGCTCATATTGACTCGCGGCCTTGCAATCCCAGGAATGACGTCGTGGTGTGCTTGAGGGTTCGCAGAGGGAAATTTTACAAAGGGGAACTTCCCGCAATGAACATACATTCTTGTAGGGCTCTGTGGAGAGGGAACTTGGACGGAGGGTTGATTGCAACATCGTTGATGCGTCTTGGGCTGGGACTGGTCCTCCTCCTCCTCCTCCTCTTCCTCTTCCTCCTCCTCCTCCCCCCCCCATTTCCCTCCTCCTCATACGCTCTCCTCCCCCTCCTGCGCCGCTCCTGAACTTCGACCTGCCCTTGCGGAATGCCGTCGCTGGCGCGGAACTCGCCTTCTTCAGGGTCCTCGCTCCCTGCGGGGAGGAGGAAGGGGAGGAGCTTAGCGCTTGAAGCTTGCCGAACGTCAAAATCAAAAGGAGGAGATAGCCAAAGGCAGGGGGACGTGGTCTTCGCACCCCTGAGGGCATCGAAGAGGTGGAAAGTCTGGGCCCCCCCCCTGCCCTCCTCGCCACTTCTCCACAACAGCTGCCAACCTCCGCCTCCCTGACGTGGCAAATCCCTAACCTAACCTGACCCAGGCCCTGTCGACACTGCGCCAAAGCTAACCTGACCCATTAAAACTAACGTGACAACGGCTCGGCGACATCAGTGTGTCACGCGCGCGCTGTAGCAAATTATGCGCCAGAATGGGGCGACACAGCAGCATGCAAGACAAAACTGCCAATTGTACCACGAAAGATGTGGCCGGCGCCTGGGCGACAGCGACATTGTTCATCAGACATGTGACCAGTGCTACAGCAAGAACGACATACTCAATGAAGGATGCGGCTGGCGCCTAGGCGACAGCAGCATTTTCCATCAGACATGTGACAGGTGTCACAGCGAGAACGGCATGCTCAATGAAGGATGTCGCAGGTGCCGAGGCAAGAATAACATTTTCAATCAGACATGTGGCCTGCGCCGAGGCGAGAACGACATGCGCAATGAAGGATGTCGCCGGCGCCTAGGCGACAGCCACATTTTCAGTTCGAAAACCTGGACAGCGCCAAGGCGAGAACGGCATGATCAATGAAGGATGTCGCCGGCGCCCAGGCGACAGCAGTATTTTCAATCAGACATTGGGCTGGCGCCAAGGCGAGAGCGACGTTCTCCATGAAGAGCGTCGCTGGCGCCGAAACGACAGCAGCATGTTCTATCAGAGATGTGGCCCACGCACAGGCGAGATCAACACGATGAATGAAAGATGTAGCCGGCGCCTAGGCGGCAACAACATTTTAATCGGAGATGTGGCCCACGCACAAGCCGCAGCATCATTCCGAGACAAACGTGTCGCCAAAATGCAAGTTTCACGCCCATTCCGCGCGGGCCGGGCTCGGTGTCACCGAGGTCCGGGTGGTGGGTAGTCCACGTTAGGGGGGGGTGAGACTGTCCTCGAGGATCGAGTATCGAAGACCGAGGCGAAGATCGAGAGTCCTCTCTCACCCGACTCTGGCCGGTAGATGTGCCGCTGACTCCGCGCACGTTGTTCTACAGTAAAAACACAACCATTGATGTGTTGGTGCGTGTCTTCGTTGATTGATCACGGAGTCGATTTCGGTGGTTGAAAAGGGTGTTGCCGCTGCAACGGTGGCCTCATTCCAGGACCGGCCCTGTGCTTCCCTCGTTCGGAATGGCGCTCTCGCCTGGGCGCGGGCCTGTTTTCCGGACCGGAGTCCTTCCTTGTCGTTGTCGCCCCCCTGTCCCCTCCTTCGCCGTCCCCTCGTCCTCCAGCTCCTCGCACTCCTCCTACCACTGCTCCTTCTGTTGCGGCTGTCCCTCCTTCCACCCCTCCTCCCGCATCCTCCTGCTCATAATCCTGCTCATCCATCTACTCAGCCTCCTGCTCATCCGCCACCTTCTCCTCACCCACCTCCTCGAAAGTGCACGGCCCCCCCTGCTGCTTGCTTTCGCAGAGCGCGATGAGGTCATTTGGGGGCACCAAATCTGCTATGACACCCGTTCGCGGACAGAGAAAAAACAAAAAACATCGCAATTCCCGATATGGCGCGAGCGCATCTAAGCTTTCCACCTCTACAATTACTCAATCTGAATATACTCTCCCTCTTTCCCTGATGGCGTCCGGGTGATGGCCGCGCACCCTCCGCGTACTGTTTGTTTTCACACAGGATGCCCGGGAAATCCCGGGAAACGACTCTCGCTGAGGCGCCGGCGTCATTTTTCCCCAAATGCTGCTCTCGTTGAGGCGCCGGCCTCATTTCTGTTCCCGAATCGTTCCGGATCGTGCTCCCGCTGCAGAGTGGGCCTCATTTTCGGATCGGTGTTTGGCCTCCGTCGTTCAGGATGGCGTTCTCGCCCCAGCGCGGGCCTTTTTCTCGCGCGCCCATCCGCCCGCCACCACTGCACCGCACCGCCACCACCACCACCACCACCACCACCACCACCACCACCACAACCAGCACCAGCACCAGCACCAGTACCAACACCACCACCACCAGCACCACCACCACCAGCACCAGCACCACCAACACCACCATCACCACCACCACCACCACCACCACCACCACTACCACCACCACCACCACCACCACCACCACCACCACCACCACCACCACCACGACAACCACGCACACACGCACGCACGCACGCACGTGCACCACCACCCACTACGCACGCGCGCGCGGAGCCACAGGTCCGCTACGACACGCGTCCGCGGATAGAGAAAATCAGCGCCATGGTAAGGGATGGGAGGGAGGGGTAGGACGTCAGATATGACGCGAGCGCACCTAACTTGCCTTCTCCCTCTCCCCGTCCCCTCTCCCCCTCTTTGGTAGCCATTTTGGCTCAAGCCATTGGGCAGGAGTCGGCGGCGGCTGGCTTCTTTCTGGGAGGATCGCGGACCCAGCACGGTCCGCTATGGAGCCTGTGCTCGCGGCGTGCCCGGCGGCAGTGGCGGCGGCTTGCGGCGCGGTGTTGGCCGTGTAGTCTGGAATCGAGGGCAAAATACTGCACTCCGCGGTGACTGCTGCCGCCCGATGTGCAGCATCCGCAGTTGGTGGTCCTCGGCAAGACGCCGACGTGCAGCGGGATGTCGTTGTTGCGCACATCGTGCTCCTGGAGCGTGTCCTCGGCATTGTGAAGCGAGCGCTGCACCTTGACGCCAAGCTTTCGCGAACGGCAGCGAAGCGCGCCCTCCGCCAGCGTGGAGGCGGGGCACTCGCATCGCGGCTTGGTCGCCTCAGCAAGTTGGGGAACTCTGGGGCGTATTTGGACGTGGAGCTCTTCGGTGACCTTGAATCCTTTTCTGGAGGACAAGGACGCTGGCGGCTCCACCATGCGCGATGAGACGGGCAGCACGGTTGTGACTGAGCAGCATGATGGCTGCGCTGCGAATAGCAGCACCGGTGGTGAGGACTTCGACGGCGCGGGCGTGAACATCGTGATGAAGAGCGACCTTGCTACTGAGCCGCTGACCTTGAGCGCGGACCAATAGATGATGGATGAGGCGGCTAGCGTCGCCGTGGAGCTGGAGGCCAGGCTGGTGGAGGGCAACGCTGCGCACAAGGCCGTCTGCGGGGCGGCCTTCGACTCTGGCTTGGTGCCGCCGCGGCACTTGTCCTACGGCGAGGCTGTCACCGTGGGGGAGTCCTCCGTGGGGCTCGAGACGCCGCTCGTGAAGACGGGCAGTCGCGGAGAGGATGTTATACCGTAATCCCGCAATCCCCACCGTCCCCCTCCATCCTCTTCCCGACTACCCAATTGGAACCATCAGGCGGCGGACAACGGGCGCACCGGATCGCCAGACGCAAAACTCCGCCGACAAGTACCCCGCGAAAGTCGTCTCTTAGAGGAAGCGGAGCGACACACGTAACAAGCGCACTGGCAGGATTGTCTGCCACGCTCTTTCTGTTGGGCCTCCTAATCCCCTTTCACTCCTGCTACCTCACATTCCCTGCTCGCTCTGGTTGGTCTCACCCCCCTCCCTTCCGCCTGGAAAGAGTCCAACCTGGAACACACCCTATGTGCACAACGCAGTCGGATCCGGCAGAAGGGGGCCGGCGGCGGAGACGGAGAACGCAAGGGCGACCGACGAATGATGCAAAGGTGTCTCTACTGAATCTAGTCGTCTCAAGATCGACCCCAGGACCTTCACATGAACGCGCCCAGACCAGGATCCCGACGTGGATCCAGCCGCGGCGACGAAAGACTGAAGACTGCCATATACAAAAAAACACACTTCGACCATCGATCCTCGCCGCCGTCGTCGTCGTCGACGCCGCCTCTGTGTCGTCTCCGTCCTCAAATCGAGGCGGCAACGCCCACGGGCCTTCCTCAGCCCGCCGGTCACCGCGCGCGCCACCTCGTGGGGCATCTCCTCGCGAAGGGGGGCGGGGTCTCCTCCTCCTCCTCCTCCTCCTCCTTCTCCTCCTCCTCCTCCGCCCGCTTCCGTCCTCCTGTCCATTTCCTAACAGTCTTAGGTGATCACGGCGTGCACCCCGACAAACGAATTAGTGCAACTGGGCAGAGCACTGCAAAGCAAAGCAGCGCTCAGATAACTAGGCACTGCAGAATAACACCATGCGGGAAGCGGTGCAAAGTAAAAGCCAACGCAAAGACGTGCAAAGCAATGCCAGGAAATGAGAGCAGCACATCTAAATTCAGCGTAACGCGTACATACAGAGCAAAAGAGCGCGCGGCGAAACCGATCAATGCAACGCAATGTCACACAATTCATGGGCACATCCTGTGGCTACGGAGAAGAAAACATCCTGGGCCTCGGGCGCGGACGCAACCCGTGTGCAAATCACACGGCACTACCCGGGGCCCAAGGCGCAACCCGTTGGGCAACCTGTGGCGCAACCCGTCATTGGGTGCGCTCACGCGTTGCGCTACAGGTTGCCCCAACGGGGATTCGGCGCACCCATCGTTCGGAAACTGTGGGTAGAAACATTGAGTAGAAAGGGAATGAAAGCGGATTGGGTGTTTACCTGCCCCCAAAAAAGAAGGACGAGGGGAAGTCCGCCGACCCCTTGGGGTTCATCGGCATGTGTCATCGGCGTGCGAAATGCTTCCCACTTCCCACTCCCCAAACCACTCCCTCCCCCAGGAGCCTGGTCCGGTCGATTTGGAGGGGGGGGGCTCCCCCTGGGACCGCCCGAACGCCTGACGGGGGGACAGAGGGCCCCAAGAGGCTCTCTGGACGGTCCAAGACGACCACGGGCCGCCGAAAGATCTATCCAAAACGCGCACGCCGTCCTCCAGACGGCCCAAAAAGGCCCCCCTAAACGCCCCAAAAAGACCCCAAGAGGCGTCCCAAGAAGGCCTCCAAGAGCAAAAATCGCCCCAATGTCCTCGGAAAGCGTGCGTTTGTGCACATTCGCCTCTTGTGCGTTGACAACATCCACGACGGCCGAAGAAGCCTTCGCCCCAAGACGGCCCAAGAGGCCCCCAAGAGGAGAGGGCCCCAAGATCGCTCAAGAAAAACCCAGCCCAGAGGGGGCCCCAGGACAGCCCCAGGAGCGGGCCCGGAAGGGGGAACCCGAACGGACATCTCGAGCCTTCGACCCCAAAACGCCCCTCGGCTGCTCCAAAAAAGCCCCCGCAGGCCCCCAAACGAAACCCAGGAAGCCTCCAGGAGGCCCCCACGAGGTTCAACAACTGGTTCCCAAACGCCCGCGGGACCCCCCCCACGAGGCCCCCCATCTGCCATCCGAGTGGCCTCGGACCGCAGCCCAGGCAAGGCGGCGGGATGTGCCGAACGCCATTCGGTCACTTTCTTCTGGTTTTTTGACGTATGTCTTCCAACTGCAAACGTGGGTTCCCATCCGTTCTCTTATGCGCGCACGACAAACACTGAACATGTCAGCAGCGGAAATCACTGCTCCCTGTGCGGGCGGTGCCGCCCTTGCCTGGGGCCCCAAGGGAATCCTTCGCGAGCTCGCGGTCGACTTTCCAAGAGGGCCCTGGCACGCCCCACATATCGCTCCAAGACACCCACGACGGCTCCAAATCGTACTGTGACAGATGCCCGCCATTTGTAAACGTGGGTTCTCGCCCGTTCCCCCATGCGTGCATGGCGAACACGGAGAGAGAGAGAGAGAGAGAGAGAGAGACCTCCTAAGAGAACTGCACACACATCCCGCACAGCTCGGAACTACCGCCTCCTGACCCTCGAGAGATCCTCGACAGCATCGTGGACAGCCCTCGCCAACCCACTCCCGCATCTCAGCACACGTTCTTCCACCCAAGCGGGGCCCCGACACGCCCCACGAAACGGCAACGACGGTCCCAAAACGTGTTTTGACGTATGCCCGCCAATTACAAACGTGGGTTCTCACCCATTTTCCTATGCGTGCACGGCGAGCACAGAAAATGTCAGCCGCAACTGCCTGTGCGGGTGGTGCCGCGCTTAGTAGGGGTCGCGGAATCTTCCGCGACCACGCGGTAGAATGTCCAAAAAGGGCCCGACATGCCCCGTATCTCGCCCCAAGACGCCCACGACGGCTCCCGTGTCTCCTCCATGCGTGCACGGCGAACACTGACAATGCCAGCCGAAGAAATCACTACTGGCGGGTGCGGGCGACGTCGCGATTGCCAGGGGGTCCCGGGATACTCCTTGGCGAGCACGACGCTGTCCAAGAAGGCCCGACACGCCCACCGTCTCACTCCAAGACGCCCACGACGGCTTCAAGGCTGCCCCAGAAGCCTCGAAAACACTTGACGAGAGCCCCACGCAGCTTCTCAGCTGCTATCAGACGTTTCTTTAAGCCCAAAGCGTTCCCACGACCGCGCCACGACGGTCCCACCGGCCACCAGAAAGGCCACGAACCAAAGCACGAGACGTCGAACACGAGCCCGTGCGGGCGGTGCCGCGCTTGCCGGGGGTCCCGGGGGAAATCTTTCGCGAGCACGCGGTATACTGCCCAAGAGGGTCCCAACACGCCCCACACGTCGCTCCAAGACGCCGACGACAGCTCCAAAGCGTATTTTGGCAAATGACAAATGGCCACCGTTTGTAAGCGTGAGTTCTCGCCAGTTTCCCCATGCGTGCACGGCGAACACTGACAATGCCAGCCGAAGAAATCACTACTGGCGGTGCGGGCGGCGTCGCGATTGCGAGGGTTCCCACGGCACTCCTTCGCGAGCACGCGGTACATTGTCCAAGAGGGCCCTGACACGCCCCACACCTCACTCCAAAACGCCCACGACGGCTCCAAAACGGCCCCAGAAACGTCGAACACACGTGACGAGAACCCCACGCAGCTTTTCAAGAGGGCTTCCAGGGGCCAACTCCGTCAATGTCCCACAGGTTGAGAGAAAGTGCACTTTGCGGCATAATCAGGATCATCTTCGGGCGTCCGCCATCACAGCGTATTATTGTTTTACACGACGGCGTGATTGCAGACCCACCATCCTGCAACGTGCACGCGGGGCAACATCTGCCGACCCGTTGGGGTGTCGTCGGCGTGTGAGATGCTCCCCCCTCTTGGGTTGTTGTCGGGGCCTGTATCTAGAGCCGTTACATGGCGGCCGACACAACTGTCCGCAGATTCTGCCGATCTGCGGATTGCAGCCCTGAGCACGTCGTCTGCGGCAACAGAAAGCACAACACTTATACGCCGACCTTACGCGGGCAGCCTACGCGCCGTTGAAGATGACACCGTTTTCGCCCGTCGCTCACTTAGAGCCTGAATGATCGGCCAACCAGGAGATCAATCTCCGGCATGGAGATCCGGAACTCCAGCCCGGATGTTAGAGGCCCTAGGCCTCCTCCCCGATTCCCACCCTCTCCACCCCATCAGCAGGGGTGTCCGTCAGCTTCGTGATGATGCGCTCCTCCATCTTATGAAGCTGGCCTGAGCAGGGGAGGGCGGACAGCCGAAGGATTGAAGCTCGGAGGCCTGCGCAGTTCAGCGAGGGCCCATTTCACTGATCCCAAGTCACCTGTCCCCCGCCCTCCCTCCTTCGCGGGCAACAGGTGGGGAGGGATGCTAATCGAATTGGTGCGCGAAGCGAGGGTATCCCAGGGTGGCGAAGTCTAACTGTGTTCGAGAGCGAACAGATGGGACAGCAAGCGACCGGACGGCAGGCGCACGTTCGACAACCCGCTGTGACCCTCGGGCACGTGAGGCAAGTTTCCTTCCCTCGGTCCACACACGGCACCATGGCCTCACGGCTCTCACGGTGCGCTGTTGCCCACGGCCCACGGCCGCAGCAGGCCAAGGGCCCACAAGGAAGCGGCATTCCCGCCCTGGTCTCCCCGTCAGTGAGACAAGTCAGTAGGGATACTGATACTGCTTTGTTGCCCCGACTCGACAGTACACGGCAACCAAGGTGCCAGGCTGAAGCCGGCACTTGAGCGGAGGTGGGCCACCCACTCGGTCGAGACGTCGTTCTCAGTGCTGCCGACTGGCAGCAGCGACGGCTGTGGCTGCAACCGAGCGGGCACGAAACAACTGTTTTCCGAAATCACCACCAACCCTCCGAAAGGAGTACTGGGCAAATCTGCGGCCTTACATGCACAAGATCCTCAACTACGCTTTTTGGCCCCGGATTCTGCAAACTCCCCCGCATCCTTCTAGTATGCCAAGTCACGGAGAAAGACGCTTGCACCGAAAGTAACATCTGCGGCTATTAGCTGCATGTTGCCAGAAGAAAAGGGTTGCGTTCCTGCCAGGACGTGCTCCACGAACGGGATAATCTTGGTCGGCAACTCCCACAATTTTCTCTTGAAATAGTGTGCGATCCACGACCCCACGGACTCGGAGGTGACAGAGGACACTGTCCCTGGCATCTCCCCTGCGCCATCAACATACCGTACTGGGCAACGCCGTCGCCAAAACGGCGGAGCTTCCTCACAAATAATCAGGTCAGATCTCGATCTCAAGAACTCTAGTTCCGCCTATGCCCAGAAGCCTCACAACATTCCCCACCCCGAAGCAATACTTTGCGTTGCCGGGCATCGATCTTCAACTCCAGAGTCTGAAGGCAGCCCGTGTTGAACAAAGCCCCCATACGGCCATTACCTATCGGTCTAGTCAGTCGGGAAGGCACTGGGCCTCGCCAAAAGGAGGAACAAGTGCAAGCGTTCAGAGGCATCCTTGAGCTTTGACGCAAACAAAAACGACGCAGACACACGATCGATTGTATTGCAACGGCGGGTCATTGGCTCAGCCTGCTGCATTCTGGAAGGCAGGTGGAGCAAACGCTCCATGAAGCAGAACAGGACGGGCAGCGCGAGCAGCACGGCCGCCACAGCCCCAATCACATAGGTCATGAAATTGCCGAGGACCACCTTGACAGAACTTGATATGAAATGTCCGAGCCTCCTGACCCAGGCGCCGATATGCGTCCCGCCCCCCGCTCTCACAAACAAGCATACCCCCACACGTATCCTAACAAGTCACGCCCATGATGGATGCTGACTGAAATCAGGATGGGCCTCGTGGAGCATCGGAATGACAATTCCGTCGTTGCCCGACGACTTCGAGACCCTTGGACGAGATCTCATATCCCCAGGCCACATGAGCATCGTCACCACCCCCTGACGTATCTCACAACTGTGATGTGGATCCTGCTCCCCCTGGCACCTCCACCTTTAAAGCATTGCCGTGGTCTACGTTCTCATGTCCCTCCCTCTCGCCACCCCCCTGTCGCTCCCCCCACTCACATCCTCCCATTTCTTCTCCTCCTCCTCCTCCTCGACCCTCTCGTCGGCTTCCTCCTGCTCCACCTCCTCCGCTTCCACTTCCTCATCCATCTCGCACCCCTGCTGCTACTCTCAACATTTCACATCCTGCCCGTCATGCTCCGCCTCCTGATCCTATTCCACCCTTCTCTGTCACCCGCCTCATCGCCCCTCCTCCTCCTCTCCTGCTCTCCCTGGTCATTATCCCCCCCCACCCCACTCCCCCCTGCGGATGATATTCCAATCCCACCAGCCCTCTGGGCGTCGGTGGTTTAGAGCGTTTCCTCTTCCACCCCTCCTTCTTCCCCCTCGGGGAGGGGTTTACCCCTCCCCCTCCCCCCTCCCCACTGACCTGGACAGGGGGGGCGGGGAGCGGTCAGAGCGTCCAAAACGGCCTCGCCGAGGAAGCCAAAATCATTGATTTTACTAAGGATGTGGCCCCATTTTGGCCCCCAGAGGGGGCAGCACTAATTGAAGCTCCCCTCTTCTTTGATCGATTTCCTCCAAGATGGCCCCAAGAAGCGCCCAGGAGGCACCAAGAGGCCCCAAGATGGCCCCAAGATGGCCCCAAGAGGCCCCCAGGAGGCCCCCAACAGGATCCCAAACGACCCAAAGAGGCCCCCCCGAGGCACCCAAGACGCCGGAAAGCCCCTCAGGACGACCCTCTACTCGCCTGGGCGTCGTTTCTGGACGGGCTGGTGGGGATACGCGAAGCGTCTAGAATTCTTCCCATCCTCTTTGTCATCAATGTGGACTTCCTGAGGAGCCTCGTATTCCTTCTCTGCAATATCCTTCTCCTTCCACGTGCATCCCTCCTCCCCCCCCTCCCGCTTCCATCGTCCATCTGCAATTGACTCATCCCTTGTCTGTCTGCCGTCCCGTCATCTGGAGATCTGCCCTCCCTCCCATATCCACCATGCCAACTCCAACTCCTTCCATGCCCCATCCCTCCTACCTCGGGTATGTTTGTCTTTCCCTCCTTATCATCCCTCCTCTTCCGCTGCATAAGTCACCATCTAACCATGCTCCTGCTCAACATCGTAATCAACCATTGCCACTCGAAGGAGATCATGACTTTCGACAGATACTCGCGCCCAGGCTGCCCATTCCGAAAGAATGCGCAGATGCGGCTGCGACCTGTATCACGCCGAGCCACCAGAGGAGCTGCACCAGCACGCAGAAAGCTAGAAGATGATTCTTACCAGCGAAGGGCACTGACCCATCTGGGGAACCCGAAAGGCACCAATACATCTACTCTCCGGACCTCTCCCAGGGTGCGTGCTGACCAGAATTTCGATGCGAATCCAGCGGTGGCGACGAAGGTCTCCCAGGAGGCCCGAAAAGGCGAAAACGAGGCACACGTCACGGTATGGGTGCCTGGTCCTCCTCTGATCATCCGCCCTCAGAAACCGTGAGGCGGGGATTTACCTTCGGGAGGGGAGCGATCCTCGGAGACCTCGAAGGGCATTGGATACGTTCCGAGAGAAGCATTCACACATGTGCTCGAGGCGGGGATTTACCTTCGGGAGGGGAACGATCCTCGGAGACCTCGAAGGGCATTGGATACGTTCCGAGAGAAGCACTCCCACGTGTGCTCGCACCACACGGCTCTCGTGGCTCTGCCGCTGCGGGTGCTTGCTCTGCTCCGTCGGTCGGCCGGCTTTCCTCTTGTCCTCCCTCGGGCTCGCTGCCCCCCTGCCGCCACCTTGCCTGGCCTCCGCATCTGCAGGCTCGTGGGACCCAGGTGCCCAGCAGCTCAATACCTGACACTGGAGCACCAACCTACCAACATGTTATGCAGCACTGGACAAGTGCAGCTGGGTCACGGGACATACCAGCAAAAAATTGATGGACTCTCCGACTCAACACTGGTCTGCTCACACGCCTTCAATAGACGAGCGCGTTCCACTACTCGCAGAGTAGCTACTCGCAAGTCGCCTGGATCCGCCGCGGGGGATCTACGATAAATCATATCGAAGCAGGCATGTGTTTTGTCGGGCGTTTGCGAGTAGGCACTTTGCAAGTAGTGGAACGCGGCCAGTGATTCAAGGGCACTGGGTCCCTCCAAAAGCGTTCCGGCATGCGAGAACTGAGAAACCGAGAAACACCGATAGACTGCTACTTCCCAAACCACTCACGTGCTGCGTTCTGACCGGAATTTCGTGGCGAATCCAGCTGTGGCGACGAGGGCCTCCCAGGAAGCCCATGACGGGCGAAAGCGAGGTAGGATAGCAACACCTCCTCCTCCTCCTCTGGTAAACGAACGTCTGCGTCGAACGGCGCGCTCCTAGAGCGCACACCATGAAGATGCCCACGACAGCGCCGCCCGTCAGGACCCCACATGGGGGCACTCCCGGGCACGGGACGCCCCGAACAAGCGGCCGCGCCGAAGTGGCAGAGGGGGGTGCGGCTGCAGCCATCGTGCAGCCATTGGAAAGGTTGACTCAGGAACGGAGGGGCTCTTCTGGCCACAGCGAGCCTTGGCCACAAGCAGGTTCACCGATTTAGATCTAAGAAGCGGCCGGAAAACCAGATCCCCTCCCGAGCCCAATGTGGTCCATGATTCAACGTCTCGCCTGCACACTCCTGTCATCTTCCCCGCTTCTGGCTCCACTGCCCTTCCCCTTCTTCCGCTCATCTCCGCATCAACCCTCCTCATTTCCGTTCCGCTTCCCTCCGAAGGTGTGGGCAGCGGCGAGAACTAAGCACCAACGAGGGTGCTCTTCGAACAGAGGCCCCACTTGACAGAAACATGGTTCGCTGTATTGACGACGCACCACCAATGGCTTGCTTCGAGTAGGCAATCCCATAAGTGGCAAGATGTACCCACGCTTCGACGTATGCCACGACGGCACTATGTGCTTCGGCAATCGACCCTTCGGAATCTTCGCAGCATCACTCGGGCAACTCCAACATAGGACCATAAGAGGGCCGATCTGGAAGGTCATCATTCCCGGGGCGCGCCGAAGAACCCAGGGGTCAAAATTCCGCGAAAGGACAACGAAATCCTTGGCGAGGGGTTCGGCAAAGGGGTTGCTCTGCCTGCAATTCCGGAAGAGGAATCAACTCTCGGCTTCGGGGGTGCTGGCGCGCGGGATCCCACCACCCCCACGCAACCAGAGGAGAAGAAACGCGAGAGCCCAGATTGTACATGAAAATGGAACGCAACATCACTCTGGTAGTGGTTGTGCTCGGAAACTGTACCAATATTACGTTCACGCTACTGTGTGTCCTACTTCCGAGATCGGCATTCTATACTGTCTCCTTACTCCTTCATCGCAATCCGCTGGCTTCCCTGTGGGGCCACCAGGCTGTAGGACTAGGTTGCTGCTCCATGCGCAGTTGCAATCCCACTAGCCCTCTGGGCGTAGGTGGTTCCGGGAATTTTCTCTTCCATCTTCCACTTTCCCTTCGGGAAGGGGTTTACCCCTCCCCCTAACCCCCTCCCCTGGACCTGGACGGAGGGTTTCGCTGGTAGTTGGAGCGTCCAAAACGGCCTCGGCGAGGGAACCGAAATCATCGGTTTTACTAAGGTTTTGGCCCCATTTTGGCCTCTTGGGGGGCAGTGCTAATTGACCCCACCCTCTTCTTTGATCGATCTCCTCCAAGATGGCCCCAAGAGGCGCCTAGGAGGCCCCAAGAGGCGCCAAGATGGCCCCAAGATGGCCCCAAGAGGCCGCCATGAGGCACCAAAAAGCCCCCAAGAGGCTCCAAGAGGCTCCCAGGATGGTTCCAAGAGGCCTCCAAGAGGCTCCAAGAGGCCGCCATGAAGCTCCAATAGACCCCCTAGAGGCCCCAAGAGGCCTCCAACAGGCCCCTAAGAGCCCCCCAAGAGGATCCCAAGCGGCCTCAAGAGGCCCCCCCGAAGCACCCAAGACGCCCAAGAGCCCCCATTGACCGCCAAGAGACCCCCAAGACGCCCGAAGAGGCTTCCAAAAGGCTTCCAAGAGGCATCCGAGCGGCATTCAACCATCCACCCAGCGTCATCATTCTCCTCATCCTCCTTCGATCGGTTCCCCGCCACCCCCTCATCTATCCATCTGGCCTCCTCTTCCGCCTCATCCTTTGGTTGTCCCTCTGGTTGCTCCCCCACTTCCCTGATCTCTTCAACTTGCCTGGACATCGTTTCTGGATGGGCTGGTGGGGATACTCTTTTTTTTACAGCCGCAGGCGGAAGCGCCAGCGGCGGGAGGTCGCGGGCGGGCTACGGCCGCGACTAAATTGCCTAGCTGGTGGGGATACGCGAAGCGTCAAGAATTTCAAGTCTCCAATGCTAGAATCCTGCGTTCTGCTTCTTACTGTAAAGTACTGAAATCCGCGCGAGGGGGAGAGCCCCAAAAGAGCAATTGACCACCCTCGGATCGCGTGCTCTGAATTCACGGGGGGGGGGGGGGCGTGGGACATATAAAAATACATGAGATTCGCGTCCCCGAGGCCACCATCCCTCGCACATTACACGATATTCGCGCCCCCCGAGGCCACAAACTCTCAAACATTGCACGAGTCTTGCGTCCCCGAGGCAACCAACTTTCGCAATTCATCTATAATCGAATCCCAGAGGCCATCATCCTGCGTAAATTACACAATTTTCGAGTCCCCCCAGGCCATAAAGCCTTGCAGCTTACACATTTGTTGCGTCCCCGAGGCAACACACCCTTGTAATGTACCAAGATGCTCGCGTCCCCCAGGCCCGAAACCCTCGCAAGTTAAACCATATTCGCATTGCCGAGGCCAAGAGTGCTCCAAGGCGCCCAGAGATGGTTCCAAGACGGCCCAAAGAGGCCCCAAGAACGCTCCAAGAGGCCTTCCGAGTGAGACCCAGGAGGTCAAAATGATGGACGTCCCGAGATCTTTTCAAGGCGGGGACTCGGATGAACGATCGGCTGCGCGTCCTGGCGCTCAGCTGTGAGGCACCATCAACCATAAAGAGAAAAATGAGACAAAGTAAGTGCAGTGATGTGCACGCGCATGCTTGAGAGGGTTCGGGGGGGCGGGGGACCAGAGAAGCTATGCGATGCAAGAAAGAGCGGAGGCAAAGGGGCGACAGATGGAAAACCCCTCTTGACTTCTTCACGTTCAAGCACAAACCAGGACGTCCCGAGATCTTTTCAAGGCGGGGGCTCGGATGAACGATCGGCTGCGCGTCCTGGCGCTCAGCTGTGAGGCACCATCAACCCAAGCCGTTCCCAAGAATGTTTACTGGGCAAGGGCGATTACACAAAGACGCGCGCCATTCGCTCAAGAGGACTTTGGTAAGTTTCCGATTCAGGGCTGGCGGATAAGCAGCGGCGATAGCCGTCCATTTCGCACCATTCGGGGCGTTGCCCTCAAGCACGATATGATGACGGCCAGACTTAAAGCAAATTCCGTTAATCTGGCAACGCCTACGGTCGAGACAACTGCTATCCAGAAAATCAACGTTGAGACACAGGAATCTGGTTCGCTTCCGCCAACGGGCCCCCTCTTGACGCTGGTCGAGACATCTCACAATGGCCCCCGGATCTATAGCCCCCTGAACCTCTCTCGTGAAAAAGCACGCGTGAATTCACAGGGTGCTCGAAGATACAAGGGACTCTAAACTTCTCACAACATCTGATGATGGCCAACGCGGCCCGCATGGTCTTGTTCCCGGACGCCAGGCGGGCCAGCTGCTTTTCACTCAGAAGATGCCGCGGGAGCCCACAAGGCTGCGAGGCGGAGCGGATGGCACCCACTCGGTCGGCCGCGGTGGTCCAGGGCCCGCACGGCGGGGCCAGCATTACGGCCAAGACGCGGCTCGCAGCGATATCCGAGCACAGGCCTCCCAGGACCGACCGCGTGGTGAGGTCGCCGCTTGGCCCGCGCAGCGTGTCCCAGAACCTGACCGGCACTCCCATCGCCATCGCGGCGCGCCCGACGCCCCCCTTGCCGCTGAAGCAGTCCGCCAGGTAGCGGCCAGTCAGGCGGGGCCGAGCTCCCGCAAGTCGACCGGCGAGGCGCGAACTTAAATGATGTCCGCGAGCTGAGCCTCGCAGACCAGGAACACGCTTTGCCGGGCGCTGCTCAGCGTCGCCCATGTGGCCGCCAGCCGGGCATGCTTCTCGTAGCGGGCGACGCTGCGGGTGGTCTTCCACTGGCCGCGCTTCTGCACGTCGGCCAACCGCCGCCACCTCCTCGCCATGTCTATTGAGGCCCCCGAGTGGCGCATCTGATACGGCACCACCTTGGCCTTCACCTGCAGCTCCTGCAGGCACAGGCTGAACATATTGCAGTACTCGGGGTACGTGAAGTTCCACAGGCACTCGGGGTGCCCCTCCTTTTTCAGCTGGCGCAGCACGGGGTCCAAGAAGCGAATCCAGGGCGAGTCTAACTCCAGCGACACGTCGCCCAGGCCCGTCTTGTCTCGCAGGTCCTCCTCCTCCGGGAAGAGTCTCAAGGTCCAGAACTCGCACGCGCCCGCAGCCGGCGGCGCCAGGCAGGCCGGCTTCAGGAGCAGGAGGCCGCTGGGGCGGGCGTACACGCTCACCGCTATCAAGGTGAACGCCGCCATCTGGAGGCTGCCCCGGGCCTTCATGCGCCACGCCATCGCGCACCACAGCGCCAGCGCCCACGGCTTCCTCGTCCGCGGCGGCTCCAGGCGCCGCCAGGCCCGGAGGCATCTCCAGGCCCGGGGGAGGCGCCGGGCACCATAGCGTGTGAAGTCCGGGTTGAAGTGCAGCACGCCCGCCATCAACTTCTCGGCCCAGGAGAGGTGGGTCCCGGCCTGGCACAAGCCGTTCAGGTAGTTCGGCCCTTCATGACCTCCTCGGTGTCCACCGAGGGCCAACTTCGACGGGCAAAATCCCGCCAGCCGCCCCAGGCCCGCTGGTACTCGCGCTGCGTCGGGGCCCGCGCCGCCTCCCGCTCCAAAGCCCTCCTCGCTGGCCGGCATCCCGTAGTGGCGCGCTCGGCGCTGCTGCGACTGCGCGAGCCTGCGCTGCCGCGCGGCGCCGGTCACGACCTCGGGCTCGGAGCCCCCGCTGTCGGAGGAGCCAACGCTCTCTGGCACTCCCCGCGCGGGCTCCGCCGGCACAGGCAGCTTCGCCAGGTCCTCCACCACCTGCCCCAGGCTCCGCGGCAGGGGACGGCCCAGCACGGCCGCCCTCAAGCGCCTCGACTCGCCCAGCTGACGCTCCCGCCGAGCCACCAGCAACGGCGGCGGCGCTATCGGCGGAGCAGGGACCAGCTGCCGGACGCGCCACGCCCCCTGGCTGCCCGCCGACGCCTGCGGGCCGGGCTCCGGGCGAGACGGCGCCAGCTGGCGGGTGCGCCGGTGAGGGCTCCGAGAGCGGCCTCGCGCGCCCGGTGCTCGGGGGCGCGCGGGCGGCATCGCGGGCTGCGGCGCTCCCGGGCGCGCGCTCGGGCGCGGGCCAAGCGGGGCCCCGCCCTGAGCCCACTCGGGAAAGCTCGAGCTCCAAAAACGCAGCCAGAAGAGTGGACTTTGCGCCGTCGGGGTCAAACAGCCGCGAGGGGAGGTCGGCACAGTTGAGCTCGCTGGGTATCCATCGAATCGAACAGCGGATATTACGGCTCAGACAGACTGCGTGAAATCGACGAATCTGGATCAACAGGTTGAAACACGAACTTCTGCCCCGATTGAAGCTTAGCACGACCGACATATTGTCACATAGCAGGAGCTGTCGTATGTGGGACCCGGAGACCGTGGTGGCGATACGATGGATGCTGCTGACCAGGGCCCGGGCCTCCAGGGTGAGGATCCCTTCGGGGTGCTGCCAGGCTCTAGCGAAACAGGGCTCCCACAGGCTTGCACGGAGCCCCTGGGCGGGCACTTCTGGAAAGTCCCCCACAACGTCCCACTGGCTCAGTTCTTCCTCATCCTCGGGAAGGCCCTTGAGTTCCCACTTTCCACTCTCGCTCATACCGAATCCGGCGGCACAGAGCGCAGCCTCCCGAGCGCTGCGCGCACAGCGCCGGCGAAAGCGGGCCCTCTCAGGCACGCGCCCGACCGACTCCACCAGCTCCCGCGGCCAGAAGGCCCTCGCCAGTCCGTAGCCGTGGAGGCTGGCATCCGACTGCTGCACCATCGGGTTCCAAGGCAGCCACCAGTCTGACTCCAAAAAGTACACCAGGGAGCTGAAGGCGGCCAGCTCTCTCCGCGCCTCGGCCCATAGCACGGCCGCGTCGTCGTAGCGCGCCCGCGCGAAGCCATGCACTGAACTGAAAGCCGACAGGGTGCCGCGCGAGCAGAGGCCGCAGAAGGTCAGATGGCCCAGCACGGCTTCTACTGCCCAGCCCTTGACTCGGCGGCGGGCAAGAAGGCCCCGCACGGCCTGGCGGCAGCGCCAGAACCGATCACCGGTCACCCGGGTGCGCAGCCGGCCGCCGTCGATCTGGGTGCCGAGCGCCACCGCCATGCCCGACGCCAGCTCGTCCATGTGCACCAGCAGGTTCAGCTCGGTGAACTCGCCGGTCAGCTGGTCCATCACGCCGCTCACGAGCTGGGAGAAGAGCGAGAACACCCCCAGGTTGTCGACGTAGACGTAGTGCCTGATCTCCTTCAGGCGCGAGCACGAGCGGCGGCCCATGGTCCGAGAGACCAGGGCAGAAGTGCTGCGAGAGAGCTGCGTCGATCCGTATTCGGTGAAAGCAATCCTTCACGTCCGCCATGCCGATGTACACCTGCTGCGCCTCCAGCGCGGCGCGGAGGTCCTCGTGGCTCGAGAGGCCCTCCTCAGGCAGGTGCACCTCGATCCTGGCGAGGCCCTCGCTGCTTAAAAGCTCCACCCCAGGGGGGTCCCTGAAGTGGGCGTTCGCACGGCGGGCGTCGACTATGAGGCGAAGTCGCCGCCGCCCATCCTGCCACACAAAAAACATCCCGATTCTCTCCTTCGGTGATAGAGTCCACCCCAGCATGCCAGCCGACAGCAGCTGGCGCACCAGGCCGCGGTACTCCTTGCGGTTGAACTTGAGGACCGAATCGAAATACGGCTCGATGTCGGTCGGCAAAGGTGCCGGTCGTAGCATGCGCTCTTGGCGCTCCTGCAGGAAGGTAAAAGCCTCGCCAGGCAACAGATCCTCGAGACGCGGGCAATGCCTCACATCCGTGGCATGCTGACAAGCCCTGCACTGTAGGAGGCGACCGTCGTCGGGCCGCCGCGCCCGTCATAGGGCGAGCGGCCCCGCAGCAGCTCCCGGAGGGCCGCCTGCGGCTCGTGCAACTTGGCGCCCGGCTGCCGGCCCCGGACGAGGCCCTCGCAGCGCGCAAGTGCATCTCGCTGCATGCCATTGGCCGGGCCAGGCGGCGAGTCGTACCTCGACGTCCAGTTGATGGCGTCGACGATCCCGTTAACCTCGCACGCGATCCGAGCCTCCCGCCCGAAATGCCTGGCCCGGCAAGACCTGCCACGAATTCGGCGGCCTGTGTCACCCAACAGCGGGAGCGGCAGGAAGCTTCGGGCTCCTCGCGAGGGCGGCAGGCGGCCACCGCCGTGCCCCAGCAAAAAGGGCCCGGGGGAGGGGCTGGAGCCCCCGGGCCCGGGGGCCGCCATGGCCCCGTGGAGGCGACGCCCCTGGCCCGGCCGCGTCCGCGGCCGCCTCGGCCGCCACCGCGCCCCGCACCAGCTGCGCCACCTCCAGCTCCTTCTGCTCCTTCGACTGCCTCAGGAGGCGCCCCGCGCAGCGTCCGCGCTCGGTTCTGCGCCTGCTCCATCTCGTGCTGCTCCTTCGCCCGCCGGTGGACGTAGCCCCTGAGCTCGGGCCCCAAGACGTCCTCCACCGAGCTCACGTCCTCGAAAAAGCGCGCATTCGTCCAGCTCGGCTTGGACGGGTCCGCGTAGGCGTCCACCACCGCCGCCGCGCGGCGTGTCAGCACCTCCACCATCATCAGGCCGCCCATGTTCAGCTGGTCGTAGACCCCGCCTTGATACAGGGCCTCCACGATGGTCCTCAGCTCGTGCACCACGCGATCACCTTGGCCGAGCCCCTTCATGCGGACGAAGAGGTCGAGCCAGAGCCGAGGGTCGCCTCCATGCCTCTCCATGTGCTTGCACATGTGGAGAGCCCCGGGCGGCCCGTCCACCTTCGCGTCGGGGTAGCACTCCTGACGCGACTCGCCCACGACGTCTCTCCACCGCTTGAACCGCTCCCCCTGCTCGTCGTAGTCGACCCAGAGAGTGCGAGCGTCAGCGTAGCGCTCCTCGCCCGGCGGCTCCGCGGGGGCCGTCAAGCGCCAGCTCGGGAATCGCGGTGCCGCCCACGGGCTCGGCGAACCCCTCCTCCTCGGGCGGGCCAGCGCCACCCGCGCGACGGCCCTCCGGGTCAGGGGCCCGCGCCGGGCTACCCTCCAGGCCCCGGCGCCCGCCTCCGCGGCCACGCGCGATGGGGCGCCCCCCGCGTCCAGCCGGGCGAGCCGCGCCATGACGCCGTCGGTGGTCTTCAGAACGCCGAACGGCTCGACCCCGTCCTCGAAGCTCACGCCGTCTGCGCTCGCCACGTCCACCTCCGTCCCGATCGCGATGCCCGGCCCACCGCTGAGGGCGATCCAGGCCTGGCCTGCACCTGGGGCCTCCAGCAGCCGCCCGCCCATCCAGGCCACGGCCAAGCCCAGGCGCAGCAAGCGGGCACGCTCCCCGGCCGACAGCCTGCCGGCGGCCTCCTGCCAGGTGACCTGTTGGCCGTCAGCGGCCAAGGCCTCCCTCGGCTCGGGCAGGGTGGCGTCCCACTCGAGCGCCGTCTCACGACCGCCCTGCAGCGCGTCGGCCAGCTCGTCGGGCCCCAGTCGCTCCCAGAAGCGGTGCAGCCTCCTCATCTTGCGCGTCCGCAGCGCCAAGGGGAAGGCCCGCGAGGGCCCGTTCTCTGGGTCGCTGCAGCTCAGGTCCTCAGGGTAGATGTCCCCGTCCGGGGTCAGGATGACCCACTGTCCGCTCGGTAGTGCAACAGCACCCACTCGTGGTCAACGTCGTCGTCGGCGAAGCGGCAAACCACGCGCTCGCCTGGGAGCGCCCTAGTCCACCACTCCCGCCCCGCGTCGCCGCGGAGCCACGCCACGAGCGCCGCCATTCCGGCGGCCGACGATCTTCGCCACCAGCCAGTGCACCAGGCCGCCTAGACGCGCCCCCACCAGCCTCTCCACAGCCTTCTCCCCGGCCGTCGGCTCAGGGCACGCCCGAGCCTCGCAGGCCGGGCAGGCCGCGCACGGCGGCGGCTCGCACGCCGGGCACGCCGCGCACGGCGGCGGCTCGCAGGCTGGGCAGGCGGCGCAGGCCGCCGGCTCCGGGCAGGCCGCGCACGCCGCCGCCTCCGGGCACGCCGGGCAGGCAGGGCACGAGAGGTCTGGGCAGCTCGGCTGCCCCCAGCCCCAGCCCGGCGCGAAGAACGCCGCGGCCTCCAGAGCCAGCACTGCCCAGGCCGGCAACGCGGCCGCCCCGCCAGGGATGGCGACCGCGTCCATCAGCCTCGGGACCCGAGAAGCTATGTGATGCAAGAAAGAGCGGAGCCAAATGGGCGACATATTGAAAACCCCTCTCGACTTCCTTCACGTGCAAGCACAAACCAAGATGTTACAAACATGTTTGGATGACTTCGGCCTTCTCGCGTGATCGGCTCCCCGACGCTCCCAGACGGCTCAAGAAACTCCCAGGACCGCCCCAAAACAGCCCAAGACGCGTCCAAGAGGGCCCCAAGACGGCCCAAGAGGGCTCCAAGATTGCCCAAGAGGCGCTCCGAGAAGCCCCGAGAATCTCCCAGAAGGCCCCTAGAGGCGCCAAGAGGCGCCCAAGATGCCTTCAAGAGGCCCAACAAACACCCACGAGGCCCCAAGAGGCCCCCCAGAGGCGCCCAAATAGCTCCCAGATGCCCCCGAGAGGCTCCCCACGACACCCCAACGCATATACAAGATACATCAGACCCACGACCTGAGCGGCACGGTGGTGGGATGAGCCGAAAGCCACGAGGATCCGCCGCCCCCTTTCGCTTTAGCAAAGGGGTGCCTGGCGTGCTGGACCCTCTCGGTTTTTGTTTTGGTTCTTTTTCCAAAAGAACTCCCCCTGGGGCTTCAGCGCGTCCCGCCGGGGTCCCGGGAGGATTGCCACGGACCTCAATTCCCTACTTTTCTGCCCAAGACGGCTCCAAGATGGCCAAGATGGCCTCCAAAATGGTCCAAGATGGCCTCCAAGTCCGCCCAAGATGGTCCAAGACGGCCTCCAGGAAGGCCCAAGAGAGTCCAAGACGGCCCAAGATGTGCCAAGAGGCCCCCCAGAGGCCTCCCAGACGGCCCAAGAGGCCTCCAAGAGGTCCTCCAGGAGGGCCCGAAGAGGCCCAAATCATTTATTTTTTTTTAGGTTTTATAAGGATTTTGGAAATTGCTTCTTCTCGGCATTCCGACGGCTCAAGACGGCCCAAGAGGCACCCAAGATCGCCCAAGGGGGCCCCAAGGGGCCCCCAAGAGGCCCCCAAGACGGCCCAAGAGGCCTCGAAGATGGCCCCAAGAGGGCCCCAAGACGGCCCAAGAGGCCTCCAACACGCCCAAGATGGCCTCCAAGACGCCCAAGATGGCCTCCAAGACGGCCCCGACGCGCCCCAAGAGGGCCCCCGTTGGCCCAGAAAGGCCCCCAAGACGTCTCCCGACGGCGTCAGACGTGCCAGGAACCTACCAAGATGACCGAAGTTGGTTCGAAGCTGGCCCAAAAGGGCCCAAGAGGCCCCCAAGAGGGCCTCCAGGAAGGCCAGAAGAGGCCAACAACATTCATGTTCGTTAGGTTTTTGACGGATTTGAGATTTCCTTCTTTTCGGCCTTCCGACGGCCCGATACGGCCCAAGAGCCCCCAAAGATCGCCGAAAGATCGCCCAAGAGGCCTCCAAGACGGCCAAGATGACCTTGAAGATGCCCACGTGTTCCCCGAAGGCTTTCCAAACAGACTCGGGGAACACATGGTCCGATGGCTTGGCAGGTCTGGCCTCAACGTTCGGCCACATAGGCGCTTCCACAAAGGCAGGGAGCGGCGGTGATTCGCCGAAGGCGTCTTCGATCCGCCGCCCCCTGTCGATTCATCACAGGGGTGCCTGGCGTGCTGGACCCTCTCTGGTTTTGGTTTTGGTTCTTTTTCCAAAAGGACTCCCCCTGGGGCTCCGGCGCGTCCCGCCGGGGTCCCGGGAGGATTGCCACGGACCTCCATTCCCTACTTTTCTGCCCAAGACGGCTCCAAGATGGCCTCCAAGATGGCCAAGATGGCCTCCAAGACGGCCCAAGAGAGTCCAAGACGGCCCAAGACAGCCCAAGAGGCCCCCCAGAGGCCTCCCAGACGGCCCAAGAGGCCTCCAAGAGGTCCTCCAGGAAGGCCCGAAGAGGCCAAAATCATTGATTCTCTTTAGGTTTTTGAATGATTTTGGAATTTGCTTCTTCTCGGCATTCCGACGGCTCAAGACGGCCCAAGAGGCCCCCAAGATCGCCCAAGAGGCCCCCAAGAGGCCCCCAAGACGGCCCAAGAGGCCTCCAAGATGGCCCCAAGAGGGCCCCAAGACGGCCCAAGAGGCCTCCAACACGCCCAAGATGGCCTCCAAGACGCCCAAGATGGCCTCCAAGACGGCCCCGAAGTGCCCCAAGAGGGTCCCCCGTTGGCCCAGAAAGGCCCCCGAGACGGCTCCCGACGGCGTCAGACGTGCAAGCAATCCACCAAGATGGCCGAAGTTGGCTCGAAGCTGTCCCAAAAGGGCCCAAGAGGCCCCCAAGAGGGCCTCCAGGAAGGCCAGAAGAGGCCAAAAACATTCATGTTCCTTAGTTTTTTTTATACAGATGTTGACATGTTCTTCTTTTCTGCTTTCCGACGGCCCGAGACGGCCCAAGAGCCCCCAAAGATCGCCGAAAGATCGCCCAAGAGGCCTCCAAGACGGCCAAGATGACCTTGAAGATGCCCACGTGTTCCCCGAAGGCTTTCCAAACCGATTCGGGGAACACATGGTCCTGCCCAAGACGGCTCCAAAAACGGTCGTTTCGCTCGGGACATCCTCAAACAATCGTGAAGATGGCCCAAGATGGCCTCTAAGTCCGCCCAAGATGGTCCAAGACGGCCTCCAAGACGGCCTAAGAGAGTCCAAGACGGTCCAAGACGGCCCCAGAGGCCCCCCAGAGGCCTCCCAGACAGCCCAAGAGGCCTCCAAGAGGGCCTCCAGGAAGGCCCGAAGAGGCCAAAATCATTGATTTTCTATAGGTTTTATAAGGATTTTGGAATTTGCTTCTTCTCGGCATTCCGACGGCTCAAGACGGCCCAAGCGGCCCCCAAGATCGCACAAGAGGCCCAAGACACGGCCCCAAGAGGCCCCCAAGACGGCCTAAGAGGTCTCCAAGACGCCCAAGATGGCCTCCAAGACGGTCCAATAGCCCTCCAAGACGTCCTCCAAGAAGGCCCGAAAGGGTCAGAATGGCCTCCAGACGGCCAAGATGACCTTTAAGATGCCCACGTGTTCCCCGAAGGCTTTCCAAACCGATTCGGGGACCACATGGTCCGATAGCTTGGCAGGTCTGGCCTCAACGTTCGGCCACATAGGCGCTTCCAAAAAGGCAGGGGGCGGCGGTGATTCGCCGTAGACGTCTTCGATAACGCCAACGTTTCGATATGCGCTGATGATTCCTATCTGCCCCTGCATGATGTTCCCAGATACGCCTAGGCAGCGCCGACACGCACCGACCGACCGACCGACCGACCATTATGATAGAAAGGTGGCCGGCGGCAGGGGGCAGGGGGCGAAACCCTTACGGATAATATTATGCTTCCGTACTCCCAGGTCGCGATGCTATAGTGCTTCCGTATTCCTGAGTGACGAATCTAAACTGTTTCCACTAATGCCTCAATCGCAATTCGATAAGTCTAGCTGTGCTGCAGGGCCAGATGTACTCTAGGAGCAGCTGCGCGCTGGCACATGATGGTACCAATTGTACTCAAATGCTGGACTTTCAAGAGTTCCGGCGGCAATGATTACGCTCGCAGAAGAAGGAGCTAAAATCCACGCGCCGCCAGGGGTCCCAGGTTTAACGGGTCGCTGCGAAGGTGGGCCCCCCCGCGGAAGAACAGAAATCTGGCCGCGGGGGTTGGGGGGCTCAGGCATGAGTCGCGGGGGCGATCTCGCAACTAGAGGCCTCCCAGATGGGGTCCGAGTCGATGAAGTCGGCGATGCATCGAGGATGCATCGGCGACGTCGGCGATGCGATGCATCGGCGCCGTCGGAGTGGGGAAAGTCGGCACCTCATCGGGCCGCATCGCCGATGCCTCGCCGATGCGGCGCGACACTCCGACCCCATCTCTACTCGGATCCCACCTGGGAGGCCTAGTAATACTTCGAGCTCAAACTGGCACTTCTGAGCTGGGCCATGCAAAATCTATCAAAATGGGGTGGGGGGGGGGGGGGGCGAAGCCAGATCCGCTCTACATCAGTCCCCTGACCCCTCCCGGGGTCAATTTGGCATATGTGTTCACCCCGGATCCGCTTTTGACGTTTCCAATGCCCGAAAACGGCCTCTGGATGCAGAACAATTGTAAAAGAACATTCTCGAACGCAGAACCTGGAAGATCTCCCCCTTCCTGCTGGCCGGAACCAATGCTGGGCCACCTCAGACCTCCGGCCGGCTCCAACTTCTGAGGCCACGCCAGAACACGCGCTTCGCAAACAGACGCGCTGCCTGGCCGCGAGCCCCGCATGAGAGACCCCGCCAGTCTCGCGCCCGGGGCCCTGCCCTGAAGCATCGCCCAAATTCGCCGGCCCAACGGGCCAGGGCGTGCTAAGATCTCCGGTACCTGGTTAACAGTATTTCTAGTTCGCGCGCGCGGGGCGGCCCCTGGGGGTCCCCGGACGAAAAGTACCCCGGCAAGGTCCCGGCAAGTCCCCGGCAAGTCCCCGGCAAGGTCCCGGCAAGGTCGGGTCAGAGATGCCGGAGTTCTGTTTCGGAGTCCAAGAGGGCTCCAGATCGGTCCAAGAGGGCCCCGAGAAGCTTTCTAGACGGTCCAAGAGAGGCCCGAGACGGCCAAAGATCGCCCGAAGACGCCCCAGATGGCCCCAAGACAGCCCAAGAGGCCTCCAAGACGCTCCAAGGGCCTTCCAAGAGGCCTCCGAAGAGGGCCCCAAGTTGCCAAAATCGTTGATTTTCATTGGTTTTTTTCGATGTTTTTTTGCGTTCTGGCCTTTTCGCTTCCGGACGCTCCAAGAGGGCCCAAGAGGCCTTCAAGACTGCTCCAAGACGGCCCACGAGGCTCCCAAGACGGCCCCGGAGCGGCCCAAGAGCGCCCCCCAGACGGCCCAAGTGCTGCCCAAGGCGGACCAAGAGGCCCCAAGACGGGCCCAAGAGGGGCTCAAGAAGGGAACCGAGAACTGAAAAATCGAGCCCTCCGCCCCAGAAGGCGCCCAGGACCCCGAAAGAGGCCCCAAGAGACTCTCCAAGACACCCCCAAGACGCCCCAATAAGCTCCCGTGAGGCCCCAAGAGGACCAACAACGTCAGGCCCCAGGCCCCAAGAGGACCAACAAATACCGCCAAGAGCCCGCCGAAAGCCCCCCAAGAGACCGTCACGAGAGCTCAGGAGGCCCCCTGGAGGCCTCCCGAGTTCTCCAAGAGGCCTAAAAAGAGGCGCCAAGAGGCCCCAAACGGCCCCAACGAGGCTCCAAGAGACCACGAACGCGCAAGCAAACGCCTGCGATGGCACAATACGGGCCGGCGGAATGAGCGAAGCGATTAAATAAAAGGGTCCCAGGGAAGCACAAACAAATCAGCACGAATTACAAGATTTCCGCCATCTGTTCATGAGTCATGGATTTCCCACTTACCATCGATGTCTCATTGGCCTCCATAATTATTTTCACAAGGATCAGCGATTATTTCTGTTTGTGCCTCTATTGTCCTTCCTGGCCACAATTCCTTCTGCTTTGTTGCTGAGGCTGAGACTGCACGAGCGAAGGGCAACTCAGGGGGTGGACTGGCTCAAGGGGGGATACACTGCGCTGGAATCGGCAATACATCTCCGATAGATCGGCGATAAGCCCCCAAGGCAGATCCGCACGCACCTGGGCAGGGTGGGCTATCGAGCCCCTACTGGCGGTCAATGGACGATTGGGGGTCGACGCATCCCCCCTGAGCCTGTCCCCCCCCTAACGTTGCCCCTGAACGAGGAATCTCGCGATCACACTTCCATGTGGCAACCGCCCCGTCTGAAAAGACAACCGCAGTATCCTCACAAACTATGGAAACACCGCTGCCCGAATGCCCTCGTCGCGCCAGACCCTGGATGCCCTCATCGCGCCAGACCCCTCATAGCGCCAGACCCCTTCCGCGAGAATCACAGAGGGTGTGAGCCAACCTCGTGGGCTTGGAACTAAAGGATATGGCGGGTTCCAAAAACCCTTAACCCAAAAACGTTGCCATCTCTTTGGGGTGCATCTTTTAATTATGCCGCCTTCCGCCAGCCTTCCGCTGGCCGGCCGAGCCGCCCCCCTCTTGCTTCCGCCGCCGTCCGCTGCCTTCCACCTCGACCCTCGAAGGTGAGGCCCCCCTTTCTGGAGCGCGCTATAAGTGCAGGCGAGGGCGAGAGCACGCATGCAGGCCAGTGGCTCATAGAAGGGTCGGGAGGGCGGCAGAGGCACCAGCCCCTCGTCCGCATCCAGCCTTTGGCCATGGCGCCCTCCTCCATCAGGGAGTGCGATGAGCCCCAGCTCGACCTGTCAGAGCATGGGGTGGGCTCACGGAATGGCGAACACATCCGCACCCCGCGCCCTCGCAGTCTGGACTGATCCCGCAGATGCGCGGTTCGGGCCGGGCGAAAGGGGGGGATAGCAAAGGGGAGGGGGGTTTGAGAATCAGCTCACGTAGCTGATTTTCCCGGCGCCTCCCGGCGCCGGGAGGCGCCCATGTATCGAGGAGTGGGCCCGGCGGCGGGGCCGAAACCAGCTGCATGCAGCAGATGTCGTAGCCCCCCCCTTCCCCTATCCCCCTCCGTTTTTCGTCCGGCCAGACCCTCGCAGCCTGCACTCCGGGGCGCGATCCCGCAGATGCGCGGTCGCACGGAGGCGTTCCGAGCAGGGCGTCCGCGAAATGGCGCCCCGCATCCGCGGGGTCGCAGCCTGGGGGCCCGGCCCGCGCAGCCGGGGGCACCGACCACCGAGCGAGCGTCGGCTGACGAGCAGCCTCTCTGCCAGCACCGGGGGAGCCCGGCAGACTGCAGGCGTGAGCATCAACCGAACACCGCTCGCGACCATGAACTCCGCTCGAAACCAGACGTTCTAAGCTCCAAACAAGGTGAGCGCTTCCCGCCAAATTGCAACCGAACGCTGCTTCAGAATTATTATTTATGCGAGTAGCCCAGCGTTCAAGCGCACCTGCAAACACTGTGCATCTTATTCCGGAGCAGAATCTATAACATTGTGGCCCGAACCCCTCGACCGACGCCCCAAACCCGGCCCCAGCAGCACAACGATGGCGACCACCTATAGCATGTTGTTCTAAGCGGCACGGTGGTGGGAAACTCACTACCGAACTGAACGGGTCTTGACATCAACCCGCCTCGCTGCTGCAGCAATGATGTGCTGGCTGTTCTCTTTGCCAGATCCGGGAGGGCTGTCAATTGTAGCAGTTCGACCCCCCACTCGAGGCGAGGCCCTAAGCATGTGACCTGGATCTCGCCGTGGCCCAGGTTGCCCTACCTAGCAGTACTGAGGCTTTGGCTTCCACAGACCACGCTGAACGGGCTCACGCAGAACTCATGTCGGCCTCTCGGAGGCCTGCCAAGGGGTTCTTCAGGCCACCTTGGAGGGCCGTGGGGCCGTCTTGGGCGATGTAGGGGCAATTGTGGGCGGTCACAGTGCCGTACGACAGGAGTCGTTTGGAGGCGGGCTTCCCGATGCAATTTCCTCTCCTCCGCCCTACCACCTGCATCCCATCTCTCCCATCTGCTCCCGCCTTCATCCCTCCTTCCCTTCATCGCTCTGTCAATCCTCCTCCCCCGCCAACGTCTCCCAAGGGCCTCCGGGATAGCCAGGATCGACCTGGTTCCCCTGGTGCACCGACCTCGGCCTTGTCCTCGGATGGAGCTGCAACGGGAAGGGGAACAAAAACGCGATCACTCGAGCGCACGGCGCTCTCTCTCTCTCTCTACGTCTCTCTCTCTCTCGAGCTCTGAAGACCTTGGGCTGGACGTCAATGATATGAAAGCTAAATCCGGGGTCTGTCCGACTGAGCTGCGGTGCCGACCCTGGGGACTCAAAGGAGCACGAACCATCGGCGCACTCCTGCTCCTCATGTGACATGAAGGACGCCTCGCGGCGTGACAACCAACCCCCGCCCACTCTGTGGAGGGCGCAGGCGAATCGCCTACATGGGCGTCTCAGGTGGTCCTTCGGGCGTCTTCCAGGTTACATGCGGGAGCGCTTAGAGCTGGAGGGCCTCAGGTGTCTCCAGAAGCCACTAGGAAGAGCAAAGGCTTCCCGTCCCCCAGCTCAAGCCCTCCCGACCTGGTCCAGACGGGGCGGGAGAGTGACGGGGGAGGAACGGCGGAATGAGGAAGGGAGGGAGGGTAGGTGATGACGTACGATACAGGAGCTGCCTGTGGCCTGCCCGAGGGCCACACAGTACAGCCCAAGCCACCGCGCACCCCAGGAAGAAACGCTGGACCCCACTGGCGGCGCCTCCAACACCGCCCCTGGCGCGCTCCGCGCGCCGGGGAGGGGAGTCAAGTACCGATTCAAGAAATCCGCACGCACCACCGAACATGCATGCTTATGTACTTTTGCCTTCTTCGAACCAATTTCTCGCCGAACCACGTCCGAGCCCAAGGGTCGCGTCCCGCTTTCCTGGTGGGACGCCGAAGGGCGTACTAACACGATGTGCCTCTGTTGGAGGCGCACGTCGGACACGAACATAGAGTACAAACATCTGACAGTACATCTGTTCCCCAGCGGTACGGCCAGAAAACGCCCGCCACGGAGCTTGTAGGGTCAGCTATCCGAGCGTGCGCGTCGCCACTGCGTGGCCGACGCGCGTATCGTATGAGTATGTTTTGGTGGTGCCGACCTGGAGCGCCACCGAAGACACACGCGCGACCCCCGCAACAGATCCCGCCCCGCGCGCGCCCAAGCCACCGTTGGAGCGCGTGCCCTTGCGCGCGCAGCCCGGGCCGCCATCCCAGGGACAGCAGCAAAGGGGGGGTGGGAGAGGCTGCCCGCAGGGGTCGATGATGCTCAGAACGTGCGTTAGCGCCAACGTGTGCTTGTCTACCGAGACCTTTCCATACGTCGGCGGCACAATGAGGGCCGACGCAAACTGCGCGTTTTCGGCGGAAGCGAACGGGGTAAACACACGCTTGGGCTAACGCACGTCCTGAGGATCATCGACAGAGGAGGGGCGGCGCTGCGAGGAGGGGCGAAGGGGGCATCAGGGGGATGGGACGGGGAGGGGAGGAAGGACGAGAAAGAGGGAGGCCAGAGGGAGAGGACGAAATGGGGGAGGAGAAACTCAACCTTTCACCGCCAGAAAGTCCGGCTGCTTCACGGCAAATCGGACGTTCTTCTTGGTGGCCAGCAGAGTGATCCAGCCGGCGGGGTCCGCGATGCGGGCTCGCCGCCTGCCGTCGTTCAGCTCCGGGGCCACCTGCAGGACCTTCACCTCCTGCTGCACCACCACCTCCCCCACCTTCGCGCTGGTGCGGTCATAGTCCTTGCTCACGGGGAGCGCCTTGAGACGAGGCCCTGCCGAGATGACGCGGTAGGTCCCGGGGCCGTCGTCCTGCTCCGCCTTGCGTGGGATGAGGTTGAAGCGGAGGGCTGACAGGAGAAGGGGAACTGAGCAAGACAAAGGGGTAAGCATGGCGCTGCGAGGGATTCAGAGGACGATCATGACAAGTAGGCGGCGTGTTGTGAGGGTCGAGGGAGAGGATACTGGGGACGGGGAGAAGAGGCAGGAGAAGGGAAAACGACGACGACGACGACGTGGAGGCCGTGAATGAGGAGGGAGGGGGAGGGGGAGACGAGGATTACCATGAATAGGAACGGCTAGCAGGGCCGTGAGGATGAGATGGATGAAGGATGAAGAGGGAAGGAGGCAGAAAAGGAGAAAGGAGGGGAGGGGAGAAACGAGCTGAGGAAGGGAGAGGGAAGGCGGGACAGAGGAGCAGGACGAGCTCATGCCCTTCGACGAAGCTGGTTGCTGTCCTGTCCTTTAGCAATTCGGAGTCGAGGTTGCTGTAGCTCCCGCTGCTGTTCGCCACCCCGCGCCACGCGCTGCTCAACAGAGACGGCCCTCGGAAGTAGCCACCGATGACGACGGAGGGGGCGTGCGGGAGGAAGGTCGGGGCGGTGAAGGGGGGCGAGGGAATGTGAGGAGAAGAAGAACCAATGGAAAAAGAAATAGGAGCGGGACATAACTACATAAACAGAAACTGGCCGAAGTTGGAGCGGTTCTCTTGGATCGGCGCTGGGCCGCTGGGTATGGGTTGGGCATGGGTTGGCATCATAAGCAGGCCCACTACCAAAAAGAGGCAGCATAGCTTCCACGTCAGTACGCAAACATGATCCACTGACGGATCCAACTCGTCTTCCATCCATTGGCATCAAACTCATGCGCAGAAGCATGTGGCCGTCCAGTACCTGTCGTTGAATTTATTAACTTGTTGAATTAGAGCGAGGGGGGAAGGGTCTCTGCATGTGTCTGTCCTGCCCCTCCTCTTTTCTCTGTCCCGCCCCCCTCTCGTCTCCGGCTGCTGCTGCTTCTGCGTGCCCCTTTTTCTCCACTGCGCTGCCATGTCCGATCGAGGAGGCAAGCTGCATCGCATCGCTGGGAACACGTTCCTGCTGAACCTCCCCGACTTCCGACCTACATGGCAGACCACCGCGACGACGTGCGCTACCCGCGGTCGGCCATGGGCTCCGGGGGCAGCTACGACAGCTACCACCGCTACCCTTCCCATCATAGGGATGAGGCGCACCGGGGCCGCCACAGGTCCAGATCCAGGAGGCGGGACTACCACAGACCCGCGCCAGGTGGCCGCCATGAGGCCCTGGGTGGCCGCCGCGAGGTCACAGGTGGCCGCCGTGAGGTCACGTCTGGCCGCCTGGCCGACATGAGGCCGTGAGCGGCAGCCGCGAGGCTATCGCTCACAAATCCCCACTAACACTGCGCAGCACGTGCAACGCAGGGGGCGGTGGACCGTCTCCTCATCCCACCATCATTTGGGGGATGCGAAGCCCCTGGAGACGGGACGGAATGGGCATGGGTTGGCATCAGAAGCTGGCCCAGTACAAAAACAACTTCCATTCGTTGGCATCGAAACTCGTGCGAAGCAGCATGCCCTCCCCCTCCCCGGCGCGCGGAGCGCAACCAGAGGCGCCGCCAGAGGGGGCACGGCGCCGACCTCGCGCGGACCTCCAAAGGTTTATGCTCATGCAGGGCGTCCTTCCGCAGGGGAGGGGGCCAGGGGGAAGGGGAAGGCCGGCGACTCCGAACGGTGTGGTCTGCAAAAGGGGTGGTTTGCAGCCCGCGCCTAGGGGGAGGCGAGGACCTTGATAGAGGTCTCTGCCGCGACCCGACGAGGGCTCAGCAAAAATTTGGCGCAACACGGTGCCCTCAAAACCCCCGACGACGCCGATCGCAAAGCACACCCCGGCGCAACTACACCTTTTGCAGTGGCCGAGAAGGGGAGGGAAGCGGGGGGTGATGCAAGCGCACGAGATGCAGCCAGGCCGAAGGGAAATTTGGATGGGAAGCGGCCGCGGCACCGCCGTGCGTCAGCGGCTCGACCCCCGACGCGCCCTGCAGGTCGGCGCTGGAGCTGCAGCCGTGCTCCTGCGCCGATCCCACGCGCGGGGTTGTGCACTGCCGCTCCGTGGGGCGGAACATTTCGCACCCCGCGGCCTCCCAGGGTCGGAGAGAGGCGCCGACACGTCGAGGCCCTGAGGGGAGGGGCCCTTCGAGGGGAGAAGGCGCTTCGAGGCCCTGAGGGGATGGGCCCCGAGGCATGGGACCCTCAGGGGAGGAGGCCTTGCACGGTGCAGATTCGGCCTGGAAGTCCTGTCCCAACTTTGGGACCCCATGCCTCAGGGCGCCAATTCTGAATTATGGGAGACGGACGCGATGTGAGCCGGCAGAATGCGCAAAGGCACTGGGTTCCGCACCCCTTCGGGCCTCAGCAGTGAACGCGTGAGGGTGGATGATGAAAGGAAGGAAGCGTGGTAAGCATGCGTGAATGCATGCTGTGAGCGGCCTCGCGCATTCCGCGGGCCCATGATCCTTCGATGATGCTTCGATGAAGGCGAATTCCCTTAACCCGCCTGGCTGTCTGGGACTCCAAAAAATCTGCCGACACTCTCGGGGCGTCTGCGAGACGCTGTTTGGTTTGATCCGTTCTCGTCGTCGTCGTCGTCGTCGCTGTCACCGTATTCTCGGGCCCGTCGCAGCTTTCTCCTGCGTTCGTCGCGAACTCCCAACCAGAACGAGATTCAACAACGCCTTCATTGAGCCGAAGGGAAGCCCCTTCCCTTCGATCCTTTTTCTGCCCGGGGCGGGTCCCTGGGGTGGGATCCCTAGCGGGGTTCCCGAGAGGGGGTCCTAGGGGGAGATAGGGTGTTACTGCGGCCCGTTGGTTGTAAGGGCGGCCTGGTGGGTGTTAGTATGGCCATGTTTCCTCCACAGAGGGTATTAATCAACGAGAACGGTGAAGGGGGGGGGTCTCCAAAAAGGCCCCTCCCCCCCTTCACCGAAGAGCCTCTCGGAAGAGCCTCTGGGGCTTTCCGAAATCACCGAAGAGCTTCTCGGAAAAGCCCCTTGGGCTCTCCGAAATCACCGACGAGCCTCTCGGAAGAGACTCTGGGCCTCTCCGAAGAGCATCTTGTGCTCTCCGAACTCTTCGAGCCGCCGAAGAGCCTCTTCGAGCCGCCGACTTGCCTCTTGGAGCCGCCGAAGAGCTTCCTGGAGCCGCCTCCCTCTTTCCCTCCTGGGTTCCTCCTTCTCCCTCTCCCCTTCCTACTACCCTCTACGACTACTGCTACTACTACTACTACTACTACTACTACTATTACCACTACTACTACAACTACGACTACTACTACTACTACTACTGCTACTACCACTACCACTACCACTACCACTACTACTACTACTACTACTGCTGCTGCTGCTGCTACTACTACTACTACTACTACTACTACTACGACTACGACTACGACTACAAATACGACTACTACTACTGCGACTGCTGCTGCTACTACTACTGCTACTACTACTACTACTACTACTGCTACTACTACTACTACTACTACTACTACTACAACTACTACTACTACTCCTGCTACTACGATACTACTCTTACTACTACTACTACTACGACGACGGCGGCTACTGCTAGTACGAGCTACTGCTACTACTACTACTACTACGAGGGTTAAACCTCTCCTTCGTGTCTACTAAGAATGAATGGGTAAGGGTAAGGGTAAGGGTAAGGGTTCGGGTTCGGGTTCGGGTTCGGGTTCGGTTCCACACAATCAGTTTAAACCACATAGACTAACATAGAATAGTCGGAATTTAATCGTACACG